TTCAATAGTAGATGAAAAAACACTTTCAAACATTTGGGTATTATCCATGCAAAAGTCATGCAATTTTTGTCATAGTTAAACTCATAATTAGCGATGTGAAAAGGAAGGCACACAGAAAATTAGGCATACGTACTAATCAGAAGTCTGATTAAAGCATGCGTAGACAAATTGAGTAGCTAAGACAGGTAATGTTAGTGATGGAGATGCAGACTTCAGCAATCCCAGCTGATCAGGGCCTTCAGGTACTCATTGTAGACAATTAGTTTCCATTGCAATCTGGACCCTATAGCACCCTTATAGACATCTAACCAAATTTAACTTACAGCTGGCATAAACATATCTGTGCTGCATGCATTTTATCATACCTTTAAGGGTAATCCAGGCATGGACCAACATTGTCCAATGCAAGATTTTGACAAAAAAAGATCTTCAACTCCAAGTCTATCAGCACTCCTTTCTACACCTCCTCCTTCCCCTGCCCCCCCCCCCAGAAAAGAGTCCCCACAAAGCAGGGGGATTTACTACATCACCAACACAACTTGCCATTCATAGTAGATAGTGACAACATTATGAATAAACCATTCTTGTTTGTACCCTCAAGTTATTGTGTTCTGAGCATGGATTCTGTGAAGGGGATGAAAGGAAAGGAGTGGTAGCAAGTCTCAATTGTCAGGTGGGTTATTAAATATGCACACGTCTGGTGCACCTTCCCTTCCATCTGCAAACTCCTAAAAACATCTCCCCTCTCCTAAAAAGGGATTAACACATTTTTAGATTTTCCTCACAGTCTTATCAGCTAGTCTTTGAAATGCAAACTGAAATGAAATGAGATGAAAAATGAAAGATGATTCAAAAAGCATTAAGTGATCAGCCGTGACAGAGTGTCACCTGCTCTAAATGCATTCTGTTTTCTGCCGCTTGAAGGACGAGTCCCTCGTTTTTGAAACGTGAAGCCATGTATTTTTCCTGTTGAGGAATCACGACCTCAGTCTGTGTTTAATCAATGACTTACATTACTGCTTTGATTGGATGTGTTTGCTGCGTACTAAATGTCACCAATTTCTCCTTCAATGCAGTTGATCCGAAGGGCATCCCCGCGGCTTTTCGGCAATGCCTGTGCTGCTGGCAAACTGCTGCAATCTCATTTGAGAGCTGCTGACAAAACCAGCTTTCTGTCAGGAGTGACTCAGGGATGGATGATCCTCCCATGGAGCAGGGGGGGCAAACGAGGTGACATCTCAAGGTCATTTTCAGGATCTGTGAGGGGGTTGATGGTGCTATGGCAGGTACCATTTCAGTTAAATTGTTTTTTTTCCTTTAGCAAGCGGCTGACTATGGAAAGCCTGTATACTCAGTGTAATTTGTTGTTGTTTTGTTTCCCTTTATTATATTGTCTATCTTAGACATTTTATATCATGCAGTAACCTTAACCCCTGACTCAAAAATTATCTAGATGTAATCTCTAATCCCATTAAAATCACTGTGACTATTCACACATATAAAATTAGATAGATGATCAAATAGCTTCCTGAACAAGCATCCAAGTACTCACTAGGTCTAAACATTTCCTGACAGCCAGAGCCCACAGTCACTTATGTGCATTCTTAAATATAAACATAGCTACCATGCTCAAGTAACTGACATAAATGTTCATACACATAAACATACCTGCAGAATTAGACCTGTTGTAAAGCCCCTCTCCACCTCAATTTGAGACATCTACATGCCGATAGATTTGTAAAAATGAACACACACCATAAAACTATTTACTTCAATTTCTAGGTGAAACAATTTTCAAGTGCAACTTCTATGAACTTTTACACATTTTGTAATCAATATTAAAATATTTCCAAGCCCCAGGTGCAGTCAGACCCAAATGCACACAGATTCCATGGGAATAAGTACACACACATACTTTAAACAAATCATCTCTTGCAGGGGATTCCTTCCTGAGCTGTGCTTACTTTGTAATTTGTTTTATTAATACTGTAAACTGTCACTTGGCTTTTAATTTTTATTTCAAAAGTGCTTTTTAACAATGTACACGACAGCCCTGGGGCAAGCCTCTCTCATGGATGAGCACATGCACACTTTGCCTGAATCACTAAGGGCTATGCACATGTAGCTTCAAAGGCAGATTTGGGACCTATAACTTTAATTCATCCACCAAATGGAGCTCCAAAATCCATTAAGGAAAAATAACTAGTAACCATCTGTCTTTATTCATCAGACTGAAAGCAGTCAATCAAACCTAGTGGACATTTTTACTTTCTTCTTTCTCACTCAACAGCTTTGAACACAGATGCAGCCTTTCCATAATTAAGCTGAGCACAGTAGCTCCTAGACCAATTAATTCTGGAGAGCTTGTCAAAAATGTCAGATGGCATACAGGTTCTGTATCTTGTCCCTGGATTTTTATATATATATATTTATTTATATATATATATCAGATTCTGGATACAATTATTAAAATTAACAGCTATCTATAGCCCACACTGTTGACCTATCACGATGACAGCAGTGTTAGGAGAACCTGTTCTCCATGACAAAGTATATTTTTTTAATTTGCTGCAGCTCAGGATGTCACCTCTGCAGCTGAACAAATGTCCCTGGGAACAGAACTGAAGCACAGGATGCAAGTCGCCCCCAGAAGGCCACCACTTTTACTCCCTGCTGAGCCACATTTTCACTACTGACTGAAGGGCAAAAATCTGTAAAGTCGTGGACGGTATTTTGAACATGAAGAACCTAAAGGTGTTTCCATTTAGAGAATTTATATTCTAACAAGCTGGAATATAATTAGATAGCTCACACCCAATAACTGTTCCAGATAAGTTTTTAAGGAAGTTCTCAGACATATGAGATGGTTTCTATTAACTTTAAGGGGGCGAGCACAAATATCAAAGGCAGCTTTTAGATCTCGATTACTATTAATAATGAGCTCATATGTGTTTTCAATTTCCCTTTTTCTGAGTTATAACATTTTAAAGAGGAGAGCACCTCCAATTCTTAAGGATTTTATGTTACTTGTTAAATATTCTGGTTTTTCAATTTAACTTTATGATAAAATCTATGGGCTAAAACCAGAATTTAAAAGTGCCAGCCTAGGAGCAATTTTTGCTTCCCTTAAATTGGGTTTTTATCTTATTTTTAAATAAAGTAAAAACTCAGATCAAATCTATTTTGGTGATATTAAATTAGAATTCCAGTATCATAAAAAAGTGTAAAAGTTCTTATCTTTTTATCTAGTGGCAAGAGTTGATTACTCTTACTGTTGATTAAACACCGTAGTTTGAAAACGAGTTGTACAAAACAAGGAGAGACTGTTCCAGAGAACACCACTACATGTCTTTGGAAAGGAGAAAAGAAATGTGCTTTCAAAGTAGTCAGGAAAACTAGACCAATGGAAGTACTGATAGAAATGAGCAGATACTGGCAGAACTTCAGGAGCCAACTTCTGCACATGGAATCTATTTGCGTAATTAGGAAGATAATTTTGGTTCCATGTGTCTAATTAGTGATAACTGGCTCATCCATCCCCACAGATGTATTCAAACTGGCAAATTTGGCACCCACCTGTACTTGGAAATGTGGGCAAGTATTAGATAACCTTTACACCTCTAGATATCAGACTCTACAGCAGAAAATAGACAAAAAAGAGTTATTTTGAAGAAAAAACTATGCTGGCATGATCTCTCTTTAAATGGTGCTTCTTTCCCTTAGGAACATTTGAGCACTTAACTATCATAAATGTTCTACAAGGCAAGATAGAATTATTGTTCCCACTGTACACATGAATGAACAGAGGCAAAGAAAGGTCATTCCCTAATTAGTCAAAAAATCATAGATTAAACCTTCAATATCATAGCGCTCAGTCCTACACCCTGCTGCTAGAATGCCTTCCCTTTAATTTCTCCTGTGACATTTCCCAGTTCTCCGTTTAGTAACTGCTACGTGGCAGCCAGATAGCCTAACCACAGAGCTGCTCCCTTCGTGCTAGAAGCGATACAAGTAGGAAGTGAAAAGGACAGTTTCTTCACCCCAAATGTTACCAGCTAAATTCACAGGAAAGTGCAGGTGTTGGGCACAGACACTGAAGAATAGATTGAGTCAGTAGTGATCAACTTGACAGGCTCTTGATTACAAGTAACCTAAAGAGCATCAAATAATGTTTTATAGACATCATAACAGAATTTTAAGGTCAGCAGTGAATCACACTGTAGATGCTTACACAGGGTTTCTCTGGAAAATGACAGAAACATAAGCAAAAGTAGGAAGATGAAAAAAATAAGAAGTGGGCAGTGGAGACTGGAATTGCAGACTCATCAGAAGAGGGTGTTAGCATCTCTCTGCTGAAGCCGAGAGAAGTGTAGACGATAAAGACACATGTGTAAAGGGACAGATGCAAGTGAAGAAAAATAGTTTTTATGAAGAAAGCCAAGGCTAAACCATAGCCCAGGACTGTACAATAACACATCTGAACAATGGGGCTCTGCTCTACATATTGTCTATTAAAATCAGAGTACACGTTTACAGTAATGCTAGCCAGAAAGATAAGAGAAAAATACAAAGACTTGTAATAAAAAGGAAAGAATTTGAAACAATTATTTTCATCCATTCTTATGAATGCAATTATATACTTTCGTGTCACGTTGTTACAAAGTCTCTCTGCACAAAGTTCCATTTTACTAAAATGCCAGAGAACATGTAAAGCTTTTATAAAATCAGTATTTATAATGAAAGATGATGAATTATAATGAAAGAAGATGAAGCCTGATCTGAATGGTATTAAAGACTTACATTACATTTAGTATGTCACCTGCAAGAGTACAGCTCATCTACTAAAACTGGATAGCTCCATCACCAAGCAGCTTCAGAAAGTGTAACTGCAATATGAAAATCACAGCTCAAAGGCTGCAAGTGCAGCCACAGAATACATGCAACAGAGGGAAAAAATATATATTTTTTTTATTTCAAACTTTCTTAAGAGTGCTGTTTTGCAGCCCTCCAGCATGATGTGCTAAGTGGGCTATAGCCACTATGCATGAAGTATATTCTATAGTATTTACATACATAGGTTTACTTTAGCCATAATTTTTGTACTCTTTTCACTCCACAAAAGAGGAAAATAAAAGTTCATACTCCATAGCACCTTCATCCCAAGATATCAGGCCATGACATTAACTTCAGCTATTATGGCCAGAAGCAACCAGTGGGTAACTTGTTAAAGAAATCTAATAACTCCAATAATCTAATAATTCTAGTTTTAAGAAGTACAAAGTATGGAACACACAAATGATGTGATTTTGCACAAAGATTACATACAAAAACCGGATTCAGTGGCAGCAGAGATGCTTTCTTAAAGCACAGTCTACACTCATTGGAGGCCTGCCTCCTCATTCAGTCCTGGTTGGACTGCTTTATGTCATGCTTATCTTACCAGAGATAATAAGGGAAATAAATTTGCTATCTAAATGGGGGCATTGCTTCTAGCCTGCTTTCAAAAGGGCCATTCCAACTTTGAAATTCTTTCCCAAGTTAGTAAACTTTAGAACACAATGAGAAGGCCATCCCTGCCAAAAAAAATAAAATAAATGTGGAACGGCAGAAGCAGTGTGGTCTTTTTGCAAACACAACACAAGGAGAGTTTGGCTGCATAATGTATTCTTATTAACACTTACAAACTGTGACTCATTTTGTGTTGTTTTTCTTTAAATTACAGTTATGGAAGGCATTTTCTCCATAATCAGATAAAACATCTCGGAAGGTGAGATGATCCTGACTGATAAGTTACAATGTGTGTGCTACTTATGTGTGGTTAACTGCCTGATTTAGTTGATGCCTGTTCCTAGCACAGATTACCTTAATTGATGAGGTTAGGAAAAAGAGCCAGGACCAAAACTACACAAGAAACACAAACAGTGAAGTCTTCTGGCTTTTCCATTAACCATATGGCACTCAAGGGATTCTCTCTGGTCATTCAAATTGCTTTCCCAAGGTTTTCCAGAGTATTTTTAAAGGCAATGTCAGTAACAGCTTGGGAAAAGAATTTTACTAGATAATGCCTTCCTTTTAAAAGTGTTAAAATGATGACTGCTAAAACAGACATTCTTATGATAATAATAATTGTGAGTTGTTAAAGCTGAAAATGTAAATTGATTAAGCAATTTTCCTCTATAACAGTTTTGTTCAGATAGTGTATAAAGAATTCCTTTACAACGTTTTTTATTATTGCTATTTTTTTTTGTAACTTTAAGATTGCATATTAGATGGGCAAAAATTTCGTTATACACAACATCCAGTTTCTAGAACATGTCATTCTTCTACATCATTCAGAAGACATTTCAATTTATACAACTTGTCCATAATGCATCTGATGTTTTATTCTTATGCATTCCTAGAATGAATGACAAATTAAGCTCATGTATGTCCTGGAATTAATCCAGCATTGTCAACCAGCACAAATCCTGTTTCAACTAGCTGGATACTCTCTGAAAGATAAAGAAGAAATACATTAAGTACAAAGCCCAGTCAGAATTCCTTTGCTACAAAAATCAAACAAAAATTCATATCTTTCAATCCCACGCGTATTCAGGTCTTGCTTTTCCCTCAAAAGTAGAAAAAAAATCAAAATTAGTTATAACCAGACGCTGCACCCACAATTTCTGTTAAGTGGAATGAAAACTAAGAGCAAAAATACCTTGCAGAAAATAACAGTGTTACAGCTCTTGCACACTCCCAGTTGAATAGTTCCCGCTTTGAACATATCTTTCACGTTACCATTCTAGGATAAAACATGTCCGAATAAGACTTTTGAACAAGATAAATTCATTTTATAACTAGCTTGTCTTTGAAATCTTAGTAACTGTGCCCCACTGTAGAGTAAGGGGATTTACCTTGTTTTGACAGAGTCTACAACCTTCACAATTTTGGGTTCTGAACAAATCCATTTCAAAGGCACGGCTTTGTGCCAGAACCACTTAATTTGGACTGGCTCAGAATGAAGTAATATATCAGGTCATGATAAAACGTTTACGAATTCTGAATTATACTATCATTAATTTCATGGTACAGATAAATCACACAGATGCATAAGAAAACTGTTATTGTAAATACCAAGTTGCCATTAAGTAATGCTTACAGAGGTTATCTAATTTAAATACAGCTGAAGCAAAAACGAGATTGCATCCTTTTTTGAAGTTGTTTTCCTTTCCTTTACTTAGATGTTCAACTTCTTACCTGATCATTCCTCTGCAAAATAATGTAATTTTTGCAATGTTTTCAAGGTAATTACAGAACTAAAATGGGCAGTATAATTTCTGATGCCAGTGCCTGTCCTGCTGTTACAAGTGCCAGAGAAGTGGAAGACCACTACCTAGACCTAGAACACAGTATCATGAAAATGAAAGCACCAAGTACTACAACATTTCCTCAGTAAATACAGCTTCCCCTGAGAATCCTACTGAAATGCTAGAACAAACTCAGGCTTTGGAGTTCCTTCTGACACATCTCTTCTCATCCTCAGCACTGATACCTGCAGATTTGTTATTCACAGATAGGAAATTAACACAGTACAAGATACAGATTAAAGAACATATTTTACCTCCAGTTTGTTCTACATACAGTATAGCACATGATTAGCTGCTTGTGAAGCTGAAATATCCTTTAGATCCCCCAAATGATCAAAGTAGTACATTTCCAACCATCAGCTGGATGTTCAATTATTAGTGTCAATGATTCATAGCAGACTGACATCTTGTTTTTGCTAGCTAAGTAGGTAAAACTTCTGCAAACCTACAGATAGTGGAATTAAATTAGAATTTACTACAACAGGGAAGCCATTCGTCATTATCAGTGTGGTAAATCAGGGCAGCTGGATGCACTTGAATCACACTTGAAAACTAATCAGACAATTACTGAAATGTAAGTGTATAATTCTGTTCCAAAGGAGTTGCCCGTTTAACTTAGGAGAAGACTTGCTTTAAGTGACTGAATCAAACACATTCAGAATTTCATCCCAAAACCTGTCCTCCCTTACTCTGAAAGCAAAAACATCTGTGAAAGTCTTTTCAAGAATATTTTGCTAGCCTTTTCATCAGACGTTTATTAATGCACTAAAGCATATAATCTTTTCAGGTACAAAGGGGCTCAATACTTCAGCCCTTAGAGTCCTGTGTACTTCCTTTGCATTACAGAAGTTATTCATGAAGTAAAGGATCAGGATAGGCTAAAATTTGGCCTTTTACCTATGGGGCACCTCAGTGATACTGGATAACATGCTTTTGCACTGTTAAATACTGATGTCTGTAACCTATTTTAATTATATGAATACCACTGGTATTTCATCGGATTCTAAGGTAATCATCTATGCTTTAAGAATCCTTGCAAAAATAATCGAAGACATTTTCATCATCTTTTATAATAATGACTTTTCATATATATATATATAAACTGATGCACTAAAGATGACCACAGTGAAACCCTGCTATAAAATTCAAGATAGTCATGGCATGACCGCCTAGGTTATGTCATTCTGATCTGTGAACAGCTGTCCGGAGGGAAAGTTGAATTCTGTCTTCCTATTGTTTCCTGATTCAGCACACATACACTGCATGAAACACCAAGATGGTAATTAAGCTGTAATGACTGTTACCATGAATCCAAATATAACACTGATATTAACAATGTCAGATACTTGTGCTACATCAACGCTGTGGTACAACAGCACCCTCTCTCAGGGTGACTGCCATTAGCGTTGAAATCCTTTTCCTTTCTCCATGTGGAACAGATAGGCTAAGTTTTTCTATTATTATTTGAACAGGAAAAATAAACTATAATACTTGGCTTGTCATCTCCACATCTCCAAAAGTATGGCACTTTCTACAAGCAATACTGATGGGGAACAGATATCCTAAGAAGTCACTGATAACCCTTTCTGAATGTCTATCTTGCATACTTTCCAAAACTCTTGAAGCCCTATTCAACGGGTCTCTTGCTTTATCAATATTTGCATAGCACCTCCAATTTGAGCTTCAGAAACACAAATGAAACAAGCACAGTGAAAAAGTGCTTCATTAGAGAACAGAAATCAATTTTCTGAAGTTCACTCAGAAAACCCCTATCTGAGCCAAGAACTCAGACTAGCATTTTTATTCATAACCCTGCTCTCCTTTAAAAATATTCCTTTCTAATCTAAATAGAATGCTTAATCCTAATTTTGAACATTCCTGTTCTCTCTACTCCTGTTCTTCTCATGACACGGATGTTGTTTTAGACTTGTTAGTACTGCTCTAACCAAATGTTTTTGCACGTCTTGCGATGCAGCTTGTTTAGATCTAGTTTTGAGTCTTGTACTTCTCTCCCACTCTATTGGTTCAATGAAAAAAAAAAAAAAAAAAGGCAGAATTAAATAATACCAAAAAGAAATCAATTGAGTAATATAAAAACAGTAGACTAAGGTTTATTTCCACAGATGAAATACTACTGCTTCCTGAGATGGTACTGTTGGCATGTTATATTTTGATGACAAAAGTAATTTTACTGGTTAAGTATTTTAAGTTTCAAACAGAATCTGATGAAGTAACATACAATAAAAGAAGAATAAATGAGTTCATTACTCAAGCTTTCCACCTTATGTGGCTCACTACAGCTGCTTATTTAGCTCTGTGTAGTTGCTGATTTAAGGAGTTCTTTGCAGTCCATTTCAGCTTCATTTCATCTAAGGTTATGGCAGATAACACCCTATTTACACTGCAAATGGTTCTATCCTGACATATCTTGTCCTAGCCTGTAATTGCACATATCAATACAATCTCTTCAATCGACTGCAACATAGTTTGATTCTCTGCATGCTGGGATATATGCAAGATGTACTATAGCATGGCACCCGCTCTAAATGTCTAGTTCTTTAAAGTGAAAACGGTAGTGGAGACCAGCATTGCAGGTTAGGAAAAAAAATATATAAAAAATAATAATAATAAAAAAAAAGAAGTTAAAAAGGCTGGATAAGCATTCCATCATACAAAAAGTAGAAGTGGAATTCTATTTATTTGATGGTAATATACAATTTAAGATAGATTCAGAAAGTCCATTAAAATGTTAGGGAAAAACAGAGTCTTACAGGAAATCATTGAGATAGCATGAACAAACAGATTGTGCAAAATGTGATCTGTGTCAAGTTTTAAAGTCAAATCTGTCACTGTAAAGTGAGGAATGACTGTTTCCTACTATGTTTTGAAGACCAACTAAACTAATAAATAAATAATTATATGAGTTCATTACCATGATAGTCATTTAAATTTTACAATATCTTAACCACAGCTTTCTTATATTCATAATATTTACACTAATTATAACATAATCTGACACAATTCTTTCACTGTACATAACTAGGCAGAAAACAAGAAAAAGCAGAATGTAGATGAAGGTCTCAATCCTACAAGCTGTCCAGCACAGACATATCACAAAGCCCAGTAGACAAACTGTCATACTGAAGTTAACCTATTCAAATGCAAGGATTTACCCACACAACATGGAAAGCAAGGTCAGAGACACAGTTCAGATAGCTCCAGGATTCTCATATTTAATATAAGGATATATAAATGATTTTTATTATTGCTTCTGAGCTAGAATTCTTATGCCTTTATGAATACACTGCAAACTATTTTAAGGGATGATTCAAGGCTGCCTCAAGACCCACTCTTCTGCACCTACAGACAGCAGACAGGGAATTATACCATCAGATATGACTGAAGGATGCCCTCCAAGCCAGACACTCCACACATCTACATAGATGCAGCACTTCTGCATAGTCAGGTTGTTCACAGGCTGACCACAACTGATAAGCGTGTGACATGCAAGTCATTTGCTCTGCTCACATGCAACATTTGCTCTATGCCTGAAATTGCTATTTAAGAGCCACAGAGGTTCACTGGCAAAAAATAATTGCTAAATATATATATATATATATATATTTAGTGCTCATAGTATTCTTTTCAGAATCTGCTTAGTTTTAATTCTTGCCATTCGTCAATCAAAATAAAACACAGCATATTTTGTCTACTTCTCTCAAGGTTTTGCAAAATGGAAACTCATATATTTTAAGTAGTTTTGACAGTGAATTCACTTTTTGAGTTCTTTTTAACATTCCCCAGGTGACTCACACTGCTTTGAAAGAAAAAGGGAAAATACTACAAAACAGACTTTGAAAGTGTAATTCTATGTTGTTTTCCTATTACTGCTCTCTCTTGTAGGCAGCTTGCACTGCATTTCTGATGCTTAACTCGGGAGCAATTCTGTTGAAGTCAGTCACCATTACGCATTGCTTCCCCACTAGCAAAAACATTTCAGCCTCTCCATGAGATTAACACTCTTCTGTTAGCATGCTATACAATACAGGCTTGTGATAGATGAACGTTAGAGCAACTACATGTATTAGTTATTATTTAGCCTTTGTGCAGCACAGATTGCACCGTGAGAATCTGGGATAACTAGCACGACATCAAGCTGTCCCATTTCTTACTCAACTCTACGAGAAATAAAGTTCTTCCAGATTGATGACAATATAACAATAATGAGAACCTGTGTGCTCTAGAGGAGAAAGAGATTTATGTATCAACGTTTTGTTCTCTAATGAAATCATCGTCCAAAAATAACTGTAAGGTCTTACATTACACTTTCCAAAATGTGAAGCAAGCCTGGGGAGGCTCTGTCACCAGGTACTTTTAACACACTTCAGTGAAAATGAGCTCTAGAAGCAGGACACAGCTCAAACAGGTTCATGGCCCCAGGACACCGTGAATACACAGCTCTCCTGAAGGTCACAACCTGTTCGAGGGTGGCCGAGGTATCTTCACACCACTGTCAGCAGCAGCACAGCCAGAGAGGAGTTGGACTAACTGGTGCTGTGTTTTGGCTCTCAAGCAGTACACAGAAAGATACTGGGTTAAGCAGGCAAAAAATATATATATGATTTATTTTTTTTTTAAGATTTCCAGTGGTAGGCATGTGATGGAAACCAGCATTTATTAATGGGCTCCTGGTGAGGTTGCAATTACGGTTTGTTTTTGAACTACAGAGGCAACTAAAGACTTTGTGCACACACAGAGCGTCAGGACTAAAAGAAAACAATTAAAAATGAGGGAGACAGAAAGTTAGTTCTATTTTTATTTTCAAGTATAAACAGTGGAACGTGACAGCGCGACAAGGCTCAGGCTTCAAAGATAACTGGAGATTCCTCATCTTAAAGCACCTCACAGTGAACACCAAGCTCTGCTCGAGTATCGCTGGGGAAGGAAAGGAGGAAAGCAGTATCTGCGGGGGCACAGACTGACACAGCACGGCGCACACCATGACACAAACCCAACGCCCACCACCCCATTCCCCCCCGGGTCGCCCTGCGCTCTTGGCAGCCATTTTGTGGCCCGGCGCGGGAACTCCATTTCCCGTGGAGCCCGGCGGCCCCGCGGGGAGGCGGCGCGGAGCGGGGCCGGGGCCGGGGCTGAGGTACGGGGCTGGCGGGGCCTCGGACCGGCCTCACCCGCAGCGACCACCGCGGCCAAACGGGCAGGGAACGGCCGCGGAAAGCCGGGGAGGGAAGGCTGAGGGCGTCCCCGGAGCTTCCCAGCCGCGGAGTCGCTGCGTTTTCGCGACAGGCAGCGCTGCTTCAGCTATAAGCTGGCTTGGGAGCAATGCCAGTTTCCGCCTTGCCTGGCAGATGGTGGAAGGAAGGGCCTGAATCAAAGCACGACCTATAGCTGGGAATAACCAGACACGTTAGAACTCGGATTGGTTTTAACGTGCTTTTTTACTGTGTGTTTTATAGATCGATTTCCTTCAACAGCACCAAAGGCAAGAGGATGGAGGCAGAAAATGTTGCCAAGGAAACGGTCCTAATTACTGGAGGAGGTGGCTATTTTGGCTTCCGGTTAGTGCATTAAATAGTTATTACATACAAGAATAAATGTAATAGAGCGCTGTTGGTGAGGCAACAGAATCCGTCCGTGAAAGGAAACCTACAGGATCTAGGGCTTGAGCTTCCTCACCTGGTTCACCCCATCGCCTGATGGTTCCTATTGGGGTCTCGTTTTTCAACAAACAATCATATACTGCTTCTGAATGTTTTAAGCAAATACATTATTCTGTTTCCACATGATTACAAGACAGTTAGTCTCAATATTTAATCAGTCTGGGCAACTTTGTAACAGGAATTTACATTTTTATCCTCAAAATATGTAGGGAACAGGAGAGAAATGCCTGGGTTCTTCCAAAACGCAGTTAAAAACACCAGTTAGTGGTGTTGTGTTTTTTTCCCTTATTGTAGTTTCCCACTTTATGTTTTTTCTTTTGTTTTCTTTTCCTCTAAGTAAAGAGGGAAAGAATAAATTAAAAAGATATATTAGAATAGTTAATAGGCTTCTCTTTCCTCCAGGTGAAATGTTTCATGCATTACTGTGTTATGTATATAACATGTGGTTTCCGTCCTGTTTTAGTTTAGGTTGTGCCATATACCAAATGGGAGTGGATGTGATTCTCTTTGATGTCATGAAGCCACTTCAACCAGTGCCAGAGGGAATAAAGTTTATGCGAGGGGATGTCTGCTGTCTGTCTGAAGTGGAAGAGGCTCTTAAAGATGTAATCTGCGTATTCCATATCGCTTCCTATGGAATGTCTGGCAGGGAGCAGCTGAACCGAAAACTTATAGAAGATGTTAACGTGAAAGGAACAGAAAATGTCATCCAGGCCTGCAAGAGCACAGGAGTGTCAAGTCTGGTTTATACAAGTACATATAACGTGATATTTGGAGGCCAGATTATAGAAAATGGGGATGAATCTCTGCCTTATCTACCTCTTCACCTTCATCCAGATCACTACTCCCGGACCAAATCTTTAGCTGAAATGAAGGTGCTGGAGGCAAACGGTGCTGAGCTTGGAAATGAGAAAGGTGTATTAAGGACTTGTGCTCTCCGACCAGCAGGTATCTATGGGCCAGGAGAGCAAAGACATCTTCCAAGAATAGTTAGTTACATTGAAAGGGGACTGTTTAAATTTGTATATGGAGACCCTCTCAGTTTAGTAGAATTTGTACATGTAGATAATCTTGTTCAGGCTCACATCCTTGCCTTTGAGGCCCTCAAAGCCACCAAAAAGCACATAGCTGCAGGCCAAGCCTATTTTATTTCAGATGGCAGGCCAGTAAATAACTTCGAATTTTTCCGACCATTAGTAGAAGGGCTGGGTTATAAGTTCCCAACCTGCCGCCTTCCTCTCTCCCTTGTCTATTTTTTTGCATTCCTTACTGAAATAGTTCATTTTCTTGTAGGTCATGTTTATAATTTTCAGCCTCTCCTCACCCGCACAGAAGTTTACAAAACCGGTGTCACACATTATTTTAGCATGGAGAAAGCCAAGAAAGAGCTGGGGTATAAGCCTCAAAAATACAGCCTGAATGAAGTGGTTGAGTGGTTTAAATCTCAGGGCTGTGGACCAAAGCCAAGAAAGTATACCATTACGAAGGTTGTTAGGAATGGAGGATTGCTCTTGTTGATTGCCGTGGTGGTTGCATGGTTTCCATCTGCAGTTACATTTTCACACTGAAAGATGAAACACTGAACATTATGGAATGTGGGGGACAGAATTTACTTATGTTGAGTACTCGTTAGTGTTGACAGGTATTAAAAAAACACATTGGTGCTATTCAGGTAAATATTTTTAACATTTCTAGCCCTAAGGAACGGAACTGCTAAGTAAAAAAGATGTAATTTTTATACAAAATTCCTCTTCAAAGTGAAATTGATCAGATCACTAATAAGACAAAGCTTAGTACTCCTGCAAAAACAGCATTTTTTTGTCTGTTACAGTGGTACACTTAGACTGACCCTTCCTCCCCAACAATATTATACTCTGCCCCTTTATTCCTAACAAGTTTCTGCTACATGATCCAGAGGAGAATAAACTTGCTCTTTGATCACATTCCAAAACCAAATTCTGCTTTCCAGCTTGGATGTATATATGCCTGACCAAGAATTTGCCTTAGTTGCTTGATTAACTGTTTAAGTGATAGACAATAAATGAATGTTTTGGGGATTGTTTTGCTTTTTTAAAAAAAATAAATTCTGATGTACTTCTCTAAGTAAACTCTGATATCTAATGACACTTCTGGAAAATGTTGAATTGTTAATAAAATGACAGCGAAGTGCTTGAAGCAACACAGCTCTGTATATATTTCAAACTACAATATTCCTGTTTAAAATGAGTTACCACAAGTGCATTCATAAGAAACAGCTATGGTTTTTCCCAGCATTACTGAATGGTTAAACAAAAAAAATACATAAAGGACATCAGATAAGTGATCACACTCATGTTCCATTGCTTATAAAGTCTTTTTAGCCTTTAATAATATTTATTTAACACCTGATAGCATTTGAAGAGAACGTCACCTTTGAAGCAGGATGATAAACGCTCTGCAGAGTGAAAGTCAGGATTTTGTGAAGTTTTAAGAATAGAAAATACTTTGCTAGAAACAGTAATGATCTGTACTTAACTCCCTCATCTCTTTCAGTTTAACAATAGAAGAGATGCTGAGAAACTTCACATCGAAATGTTAAATCACAAAGTTGTGTTCCCTTAACTGATAAGCATTACAGTTTCTCAGTATTTCTAGATAAGTACACAATCCTTCAGGAAGTTCACACTTGTCCCTAGTCTTTCCATTTTAATAGCTGAAACTACACTGTTTTAATTTTATGCTAGTTCCAGTAACTTCAGCTTCAGTTGGGAAACCAAGCTACAAGTACGCTGCCACCTGTGTTTAGAAGATGAAGATATTTTCAGTTAATGCTGACTGAAGCCAGCATTCTTTGAATGTTGAGTTTGTTTCCTCAGTTAATTTTTGTAATCACTGATAATTAGATGCTTAGTTTTACTTGAAATCTGTTTGGTTTTCTTTTTCCTCCTTAATTCCTCCACCACTGTGCATACCATAAAAGAAAATTTAATAGTTAACTTGAGGGACAACTGAAGACGATGGCATTTCAGTGTTCCACCATGCTGATGGCAGAAGGGCCACTTACCAGAAGCTGTTAATATACATAATCATAGTTTGCAGGAAGAAGAATCTTGCTTTACTTAAAGATGGAAAAATAAAGGTAGTTGTGATCTCATGAAAGCATTGGACTGCTGTTACCTTCCTAGCAGGCCCTGTTTTTCAAGTGAAAACCACCTGGTTTGTCTCCTCCAAGTACCCTGGTTTTGACATAATGTTATCAGAAATAGATTAAGAATTTTTAATGCTAGCAGAAGCAATAGACAAAAGAAAATGTACAAGAAAGTGCACAGGCCTGTTGCATGGCATGAAATACCAATATCGTGGTTCTGATTCTTGTAAAAAGCAGACCTTTTTAAGATGTAGAACAGAACTCCTGTGCCCCGGAGGAATTTCTTCTGCTATTTTCTTCTGCTCGGGGAGGGGAGCACGAACACGAATACCAAAACTGAAGCAGCAAATCCTCCTGCAGAAGCTGAGCAAAACACATGAAGGTCTTCATTTTCCTGGAGTCAAGGACAGAACTTCTCATTGATAACGGAGTAAGAGGTGTTACTGTGTCCTAACTGCCCATGACTTATGCTTGAGCACGGGGTACTAAATCAGGCCTAGTTCAGAGAAACAAGCGGGCGCTTGGCAATGGTTATCCCAGACCAAAACAAAAACAAAAAAGGAGAATCCAGACTACAGAAGAGGTGAAGGATACTCTTCCTCTTTTACTTTCCAAAATGAAAAGAGGAAACGTCTGGCTTAAGGAGTTTAAAATTGCTTGAGTTATGTACATACAAAGCCAGTCACAGCTGCTCTATTTCAAGTATTTTTCAATGAGAAATCTCTCCCTTCCTTCCTGTTTTTGTTGTTTGTTTTTTTTTTTGTTTGTTTGTTTTTTACTACTTTTGGATGAGCAGCTGAGTAAACTAAGGTAATTCACTTGTGTCTGTTTCAAAATTGTCATCAATGGTTTGTTTTCCTTTCACCCCATGATTTGTTTTCCTTTAATTACCAGAACACCTAAAAACTGAAAAAGCAGAATTGAAAATTTGCTACTCCTCACCATTATTTAATGAAGGTAAAAAGAACGGTGCTGATGTTTTAAGTGAACAGTTTAAGAACACCAATTTTCACAAATGAATAGGTGAAGATGACCATTTGGCTCGTCTAACAGCCTCATAGATGGCTTAGGCTACAGATACCTCATATTGATTGCTACTCAACATGCATACATTTTTTAATAAAAGACTGATAAAGTTTTTCTTCCCAAGACTGCCAAGATACAAATAAATAAATGTTAAAGACATCATGCCTGCCCCCAGCAACACTTACACCCATACAATTACGGTGACCTTGTGAGCAGAAAGGGAACATGCATTCCAAATTACTACAAACTTCATCTTTGCCTTGGTTATGCTTTATTGTTTGAGTTGATACAAATCTGATACTCACTACAACCAAAGTTAGTATCTGCCTGGAAAAGGTCGGTTAGGAGTTGCAAGTTAAATGTGATCTTTGACCTTTTCCTTCTGCAGTGCTCGTTTGTATCCAGATGAAGTGCAACAACGATGACTTCTATGGACGCAATCAAAGTCAGTTCATCTTAAAAACACAGAGATGCCGTTCTTCCGACCTCCAACATAACACACCATAACTCTAACACACCACTTTTCAGTAACACACTCATACCGACTCAAATGGCTGGAGATTTAAGTCATGAAATTCAATAAACAATGCTTAAATGAAGAAGCATCCGTCATCATTTACATCACCGCTATCAAAAATTATTTATTAAAAATAAAATAATTTAAGGATTTAAAATAGTTTCTGTAAGAATGTAACAATACAACAGATATTGTTAACTTCAAAAATTTATAAATGTTTTCCCTTCTAGATTATAAAATTAGCACACACACTCAATCCTAGTTTTATATTAAAACAGCTGCAACTGTGAAAAAGTTGCTAGAGTCTGCCCTGACAAAGAATTGAGAGGTAGGGCTTCAGAGTTAAAACACAATGCAAGAGAAGAGTTAGTACACAGCCTGGCCCAATTCACACATCAACCAAACAGCTAACACAGTATTTTCTTTCTGAATACAACCTAGCGTTTATACTCAGAGGGGGAAAAAAAAAAGCCTTACTGTAAAATGAAATGGATTTTCATAAATACTGAGTACCACCTCGTAACTTTTGACATTACATACGTGACATAACATACACACAACTTTCTGAAGGACTGTAAAAGGTGCTATTTCTTAAGCATTTGGACAACAGCAGCACAAGGAACTCATACGTTCATCACACAATGGCTGTTCTGTGTCAGGAACATGCAAAATGAAAGTAGTCAAGACAAATGACCCGCATGGGCAATCTGGCTATGTCTGCTCTGGAAATGAGCTAAAAAAACAACAACCTGGAGCTCTAGGTTTTGATCTCCCTCAGCCTGAGCATCTTACAGTCTCTTATTTTTTGTAATCAGTATAAGCCCAGCTGGTATTCAGCTGCTTACAGATCCAGTCCCAACTGAAGTAAGAGCTTCAGGACCTTCCAAACAGGGCTTTGGGCCCCCTTGTCTGATCAATACTGACAACACAACATTCTCGAAACATTAAACAAGACACATACATGCTGCTGAATGAAATATATAGCACAGGGACTGATCATGTAACAAAACAAAATGCATCCCAGATCATGCTACAAAATGTGTGCGCACCAAAGGTCCTCACCTTCCAGCAACAGCAACTGGCCAGCCCATCACGCATGGATACTGCAGAGAAGCACAGCTTTACACAGCAGTCTAAGTTACTGCTGTACCTTCAAAATCCACAGTTGATGATTTATTTTTTGTCCCTTTTTTTTTTTGTTTTTTTTTTCCTTTGGCGTCCATCTAATCTTTGAAAAGACCAAGCAGAGCTGGGGACTGAAGGGATTTCAGGCAGGAAGAAGCCTAGAATTACCTTTAACTTTATCCTCTTCTCTTTTCCAGTTCACTGATTGGTATTAATTTCTCCAGGAAGAAAAAATAAATCTGCAGAAGCCACCGCACTGTAGGACACTATTACAGCACTTTCATCTTAAGATAAGAGACAAGACTCTATTCAGAGTAACTAAAACCTCAGAGGAGTTCCTCAAACCATCGCTGGTGAATGCACTATGGCATCAATTAAGTGCATCTTGAAACAACAGAATTCATAGCATGAGGAGCAAGAGCAACTGAGAACTGCTGAGGCAGCTTCATCAGGCAATGAATCCCAAAACCAAGCAGGTTTTCTGTGATCAGAAATACACCATGATGTATGCAACATTTTATAATTCAGGCAGTCATTTAGACATAACTCCTGTGCACACACATGAAAGGTAAACTCATGCATGCAGATAGTAAAACTCCACCCATGTAGACAGAAGGAAACTAGGAATTCAATAGTAGTAACATAGTACTATCTCAAATTAGGACAACTGGTTTTAAATATGCCATTCAAGGACTTTCACTCTGCTCTTGCAACAAAACACACTTGCTAATCTAACGAGTTTTCTCATCTGTAGCTCAATGCTCTTCAATTGATTAAAGCTGTAAGAATGACTGTGTATACTATCATTCTTGGATTAGATACATTTTGGGAAAATGGTCTACACATTTACAGAACACTATCATTTGATGCTACCATCTAACTAGGATTGCAAGATTAAAAATGGACAGTTCATTAAAAAAATCATTTCTAAGCACATTAGCAGCTGAAAGGGTTTGCATATAATGATAGTATACCAAAGCAAATGCTTTTCAGATTTGAAATACCTTTCCATTCTGCAAACAGGTATTTCCTACCACATATATTAAAACCTTTCCTTCCAGTGCCTTAAGTTAGGAATATAAATTCAGAGGGGCTGCAAACACAGGTTCGCACATTGTTCCTTTCCTAAACTTTTCAAGAAGAAACAACTACAGTCACAGAGGATATTTGGTTTCAACAAAGTTAACATTATTTGGTACTCAAAAAGAGAACAGAAAACTTATAACAAGACAATACAGTATGAGCTATTAGCTGCCCAAAATACTTTATACAGTATCGAAAGTACAATCTTCTGTAACATACATTAAAAAAAATGCTGGTGCAAAAGTGCTTTTACAGCATTTAATAAATTAAAAAACTCACTACCAGTTAATCTTAAGGAGCCAGGTTGTTAAAGTGGTGAGGTTCCATGCATGTAAATTGTTATGAATGTCTTATCTACAGCCTGTGTACACAAATACAGTAGATGATTTAAACTTGTGCTTCAGGTATTGATAAGAAGTGAAGTCTATGCAATTACCCACCCTCCAATTTTAAAAATCTTGAATACACAGAAGTCTGGCCTGCACAGAGGGTATGCTTTGTACAGAATATAAATTATTAGGAATTTAAACAGTTTTTCTTATAACAAGAAATTATTAAGGAAACCCATCTTTTCTCCTCCTCCTCTTCTATTCATTCAGCTTGATGAGATCTGCATGGAGTAGGATGACCAGGATAAATTAATATCTCCTCCTGAATTGCTCCATAAAGCATCCATCAAAGAATGATTGCTTTAAGAGTAGAATTTGCTGTTACTGACTTTCTTCTCCTTTAATCTTAAGGGAAAATAAAAAAAAAAAAAAAGAAAAGAAAAAAAAGAATGAAAAGTCAAGTTTACTAGGAATTTTTCAGAAGAGAACAGTTTACTACATTCATTTTACTTAGACACAAATGGCGAGTAACGTATCGGCAACAAGTACTGTTTTTCCTGCAATAAATGTGAATAAGCCAGTGATTCACACAGCTGTTCAGCACACATAAAATGGTAAAAATATTTAAAGAAAAGTCTTCCTCCCATCCCATCAGCTCAGAACGGAAAAAAGATGTACTTGACTGGTACAAGAAGCTTCTGTCTCCCTCACAATGCAAAGGTAGCAGCAAAGGAGACAGACCCTTCTCTTAAGCTTTGGATAGTGCACTGACACTTAACTGACAGTTCTGTGCTCTAACAACTAACTCCTGCTTTCATCTTTTGCAGTTTGTCTGTCTGGAAGTGTGCTTTCTTCCCACACATTTAATATGTTAATAGCACTGCCAAGGACATAATTCCGATATTGTAGGAGTAAGGTGGCTTGTTTATTTGACAATACAGGCTATTTGGCTGTGCGTATTTCCAGGCTTTTCTCCTAGAAAGCAAAAGAACATAACCTCACAGGATTACATGTTTCACTGTGATCCCTAAAACCAGGATTTCACCGAGCAGGTATTTCATTGAGTCTGCTGGCCTCTAGTGGCTTGCAGCCCAGCCTCACTTGAGATATCCTCATCCTACTCCAGTCACTCTTTAGATGCTTATTTTAATAAATCTGAGACTTCCTTACCATAAATCATGTTTGGACAGAGCTGCCTTGGGAAGGAGAATGATTATCAACCTACCTGCGGTTGCATGTCTCTTGATATATCTGTAGTTTGTGCTCATTCACATTAAATTCTTTTAATATAGCATCTCTGTTAGGATTCCTTAAATTCACATGGGTGTCATAAAGGAACAGCTGATTATTAAGCTCCTCCTGGCGTTTCCGAAGTTGCCGACATGAGGAATAAAGCTCTTCTTCACTTTCCTTCAAAAGAATATTGGAAAACAATGTACAGTGTAAGACAGAACCAACAGAGTTTGGGTGGTTATTTTGTTTTTCTAAACACATTCCATTGGTTTTCTAAAATTAGTTTTGCATGATGATTCTGCAACATTTATGGAAATAAAATAAGTAACTAAGAACATAGTGGAAAAAAAAAACCCTTACACCCATTATCTAAGGCACCACACTGTCTAATAGGGGCATCATGGACATTCCAGGAATCATGAAGTGTCTGTATCTGAAACATATGTTGGAATATTTTTCCACACACAAAGTATGCCAGCATGTTAAGGAAAGGACAGCAAACGATGTATCACTGTGGGACATCAGATTATAAATTTTTAAAAGACTTTTTTTTTTTAAATCTTATTTTTGACTGCTCCACCATATTTATGTAAGGTGACATATTCCTGGCGCTTTCTTATTGAAATCTAGGCTGCAAGTGGAAATACTGACTAGTAAATAAGATCTCTAATATTATCAAGTGTCAGACAATCAAGAAAGGACACATCCTTTGTTTCTGTGGAGCTATGACAACCTGCAACAGAACTTGCTAAGTATTTCAAGTATAATTTGCAGCCATCTGAATTTCTCTTGTTGAATGTGGCCCACAGGAGAACATCTCAAAATTATCCACAAGCATAAAACAATCATCATGATTCCCTTCATGACTTCAAATTGCTTTAATATTTCAAAACTTTGGATGCACAAGCTGTCTCCTTTATTGAGTTACTGGTGGGGAATAGTATTGGCAGGAACTAAGTCTTAATTTTTACATCAACAGCAAAACAAGATGCACATCTTACAAGAAATGACATGGAATCAATAAACATAAAAATCTAAGCATTTTCAGAGATGGCATATTAATAAGAATGCCTCTTTTAGCACTCAGTACAGATCTAGGGAAGCTGTCATGTTTAGCAAACACCCATGGGGTTTCAACAGGTACAGCAACCAGATCCTTTCCTAACCTTTCTTTTTCCTCCCAAAGCATACTCCTACAGCTCCCTGGTATGGCTTGAAGCAAATGGAGCAGCCTCAGTGCTATGCTACTGATTAAGTTTTAAAAAGCTTCCCCTGCAAGAATAGGAATGAAACTTTGCATTCCCAAATTGCAGAAGGAATAAGCAGATTGCTAATTACCAATTTGCAGGTGTAATTGTCGAGATGCATATGTACTACTATTTGTGCAAAGCTAGACTTTAAAATGCTGTTTAATGCCCACTGTAATTAGGAAGTGCTAAAGTGGTACACATACTTTCTGAAGCAAGTAAATCAAATTTCAAACAAAGAAGACATGCTTCTATATGAGACAACAGCACCAATGTAACAGAATTTCTGCAGGATCGGGAAGACCAGTCAACTTGGACAAAAACTACATAAGGCCCCATAAATGATTCACACATGTGAATGCTTACTTTGCAATATTCTTGCTTCTCTATTCCTAAAGAATTTTCTCAGCCATCTGTAATTCCCCTTTATATCTTTGTATTTCATCTCCAAGAGTATGCAGATGGGCTCTGTATATAAACAGGCCTGTTATTAAATTATACCATTTTATGGAGGGTCATTTTAAAAAAAAAAAAAAAGCAGAAGAACAGATGGATACAAGCTTGATCTTTCCTGATGCTTCTTGAATGACCTGGCAGAAGCTCTAGAAGTTGATTAACCATGGCAAATCTTGGTTTGCTGCAGACTGCCAAACTAAAGGAAAAATTTTTGAAAGTTCTCCTGCAACTGCATTATCACCCAAAGATATCAAAAAGCGTGAAAATACAGATCTGTGCTTCATCTTCATTTGGCTTAAGCAGAAGGGGCTTCAAGAGTGTGAAATGTGCTACTGTGAAAGGACTTGGTGCTGACAGACTGGGAGACATACACTGCTGCTGCGAGCAGCACTTTAAGAGATACTCCTGCCCCAGGCAAAGAATGATCTGAATTTCTGAGGAAGAATTAGCAATGTATCTACGTATCATGCCCATGCTCGACAGTTTTGGCAATAGCAAGTTGTTACCAGTTTACTCAAAGGAGGCAAGACAAAAACATGTAAGCTTATCTGGCCTCCTGTATCAGACTTGTATCCATGGAATATGAACATTTCAAATGTTATCTTCAAAGGACATATATCTCTTTTCTTTATACACACCCTTTGTCTCAGTTCCCAGCCTTCTTCTCTCCTAACTCTTGCTAACCACCAGAAGAAAGCTACCATGGCTACAAAAACTGTGATTACACACAGTCCTTTTACATCACGTGTCCATAAGGTGGCTTTACAAAAGTCTTGACAAAGGACATTTGGACAAGAGGCTGCCATTTGTCTGTGAGGAATGTGACTGAGAATTCAAACATTTCCATTTCAGTATGTGTAACTACAGGCACAAATCTCTCCAGAGACATAAAGACTTACTGTTAGCAGAATCTGATAGTTTAATCAGGAAACATAATGTACACTGGTGTGAACCATAGCATAAGCCTAAATGGTTGTGAATGACTACAAATAAGTTCTACTTTCTTTCCCCCCTCTTCTGAATCAGAAGGGTACTGGAAAACACCGTGAAATCCTCACTTCCCAGAAGTACCATAAAATTTCATCACTTGTCTTCTATGCCATTGTGTTTAATAAAATATTATAATAAAATAAAAAATGAATATATAGTTATAATTGCATATGTATTTAGTTATTATAGTTACTGTATATTAATATATAAAGCAAATAGCATAACATACTGTTGAGGTATGGAGACAGTCTGAGAATAAACCTGCTTTAAATTAGCATATAAAGCACCACCTCTGGAGCACCAACAAATGCTCTTCACAGATCAGCCGCTTTAATGCCTGGCTTCATAAGCAAGGGATGCATCATCATCATTTTTTCCTTATGTGCATGAAAATACTAGTACTTCAATCAGTTGTTTTACAGAGGCTTAAGAGAAGGAGATTAGAGCTTCAGTAGGAACCAGGATGTGTCTTCCATTTGTTGGGTTATTTATGTTAATGACATACTGGGAGAAGTAAATTTATCTTCTCTTCTTAAAGACTTTTTTTTTTTTTTTTTTTTTAAACGCAGGACCTTTAAAAAGAATTCCAAGAAGCTAAGGCCTGAATTTAGCTAGCTTTGCACAGCATCAGGTAGTTAACACTGAAGACAATGACCATGCTTGTAACAGAAAAAAAAAATAGAGGCAATTAGTCTTTGTTTCTGCATTATTTCTTTTAACAAGTGAGTAATCTGTGTCCTCCCCAGAGGAGAGTAACTCAATTCGCATCCTTGGTCTTCCCCAATACCTAATGAAATATCAGACTATACAACAGTAGAAAACTAAATCCTCACTTCCCGGTTTCCACAAAGAACTGATAACACAAGCTCTAAGTGCACAAAACAAACCAATAGTTCTCACCAGAACTTGTTGCATTTCACAATGAATCAGAAGCGAGGCTAGCTCTATGTCTTCACTGTAACCATTCTTGAGAGGAACTGATCTAAAACCTGTGGAAAACAAAAAACATACACAAAGGAGAACTAGAATCAAGGCAAATGGTTACCTGCAGTCATCAAAATGGTGCAAACAGTCCTAAGGACTAAGAGATCCTTCTCTGCTCAAATGCTCCATTGCTGAGAGCAGGCTTTGCTACGTGAATTACAGAGAAGCAAAAGACAATAACGGCCAAAATGAAAAACACAAGATTTCACATGTTCTTGAAAACTAAAGCCAGTTGCAGAGAGAATCAGAAAACCTACTTCTGCATATGTCCACATCTAAGGCAATTAATAAAACAAATCCACTGACACCAAAACAGAATCTTCCCACATTTTACTTAGAGCACATAACCCTGTTGCTGAGATGGAGTCCATGGTGAAGACAGTTGAAGACATATAAGTGATATTAGTAAGGAGATAGGTGTAATATCAAAAGTAGTGATCTTGTTACTTTCTTCTGAAACGCAACACAAACTAGAGAGGAAGAAAGAACCTTTATTGGAATCTCCCACTTTCAGAACAAAGAAGTTAGAATTAAACCTCTGGGTCTACAGGTACACAAGAAATTTATGTTTAACTTCCTCAGAGTCACGGCACACTATCAGTAGCAATTTTAACATCTTTGTTGTGTTTTTTGCTGTTGCAAATTTTTCTATGTTTTACTATCTCAAAAGAAATCAGAAAGTGAGAGGAGAATTATTTTAAATACTTGCACACTACACACCCCACATCATAACAAACAACTAAAGGAGCAGATCAAAAGCGCAATTCTCCTTTGGCGTGTTATAGTTGCTACTGACAGCAAGATCACAATACAACAATGCTGAACCACATTTTTCTGACTTAGCCCCATATTACACCTCCCATTCTTACCTGTTTTGATTCCTTTGATAGGGAAAGTGGCATGTGCTAAGAAATTAGGGTCACTGAACATATCCTCCTCATAAACAACAAAGCGCAGAAACGCTAGATTGGGATCATAAATTTCAAATTTCACTTGCTCTGGACACGGCGCCCAAACTGGATTAAGGCCATTGTCATCTGTAATGAAAAGGAAACATTTGCTGTATGAAGCAATAAATTCACTTCATTCATACATGGGTATGTATCCCTGGACATTTTCTGGGAATACAAAGGCCCAAAAATCCTATTTACCATCTGTCTCATGTTGTAACCTCACTTCAGGCAGTTTGTATTCGTTTATTTGTGGGGGGAGATAGGAGGAAGCTTGGCAGGGATGGAAATCCACAAAGAAAGGCTATTATTCGTCTTTAAATATACAAAATCTCCTTGGATGTGTACGTGTAAAAAAAGCTAATTCATTGCTCATATTCATGAGCCTCATGCTCCATATCAGTAAAAGCATGGAAAGTACTGGAAAGACTGATGTATAATTGCTCAATTCTCGTACTCGTTTCTGGAAGACCAAGTAACTTGTCATGTGCAATACTGCCAGGAATTTTGCTGTCTAAGGTCTTGGTCACTCCCCACAAAAATTTAAAATCATAAGCCTCTTCTCTGAAGTACTGAAGAGCCACAACACATGTTTTGCTCTTTATTCTGTATTTATCTTCCACTCCTCTCTAAGCTGTAAGTTTCAGTGGCCTGGATAATTAGATTCAAAGCCTCTTGTCTACCAGAGGAACACTGCTACATCCAGATATATTAAATCGTGAAAAGACAGCCAGTCAGTTTATTAAAGATTGTTCTGTGTTATCTTCTTACATTTAAAATTCCAATAATCAATTTTTACTTGGCTGTTGGTGAGATATTGTCCCATTTCAGTGCACTTAAATGCACTTAACCTCCTCTACAGACAAACACACCTTATCCAGAACTCACCAGGAGCAAGCTTTGATCAAACTTCTGTTTTTCAGGTTATACTACTTTACAGCCATATATACCCAAGCTGTCTCTGATGGGATGCCAGTCTTCAAACCCAAATTTAAATAAACACAGTCTGGATCTCAGAGCAGTAACTCCCCACTGGGACCAGAGTTTGGGCAAATGATTGTAACTGTAGGAGGCACTTTCAAGACAGCAATTTTTTATTTATTTTAAAAAAAAAAAACGTGCAGATTATGCAAACTTGTCCATAGGCAAAAATTAAAACAATCATGACTTTCTACAAACTAATGGTTGAGGTTTTTTGAAAAAACTCTGATATACATTTGAGTTTCCCAAATTAACTGGCACTGAGGCAACCAGGAAAACAGTAATGTATGACTCACCAGCCAAGAGCAACAGTTACCTAATTCCTCCCCATACAGGTTGCTGACCAACTACAGACATTGTAAATTCATGACCATCACCTACTCATTTTATTGAAGTGCACTCAGAGCATAACCATGTCCCCACAACACAGAAAACCTCAGATACTCACTCACAACTGTCGTCTTGAATTTGTTGTTATCATATTCAGCCCCACAAATTTCTACCTCTACAAAGGGACAAGCAATGCTTCTACCAGGCTTAGGAAGATGGCGAGCCCCCAAAACCTGCAAAAGAAACGACGTTATAACCACCTCCAAAGGAAACTTCACACCATTATTTGTGTGGAAGGTAGCCTACAGAACTGAACAGGAATTCACTAGAGAAAAAAAAAATAAACCCAAAAGAACATGATAAATCTCTTGAATATGTTCGCATGTATTAAACTATCTGTGCCACCAATAATAATATCCTCCCATTCTTTGGGTGACTCAGTGATTTATGCAATGGCTGACACTCATTGCACAGAGCATGCAGCTACAGATCAAGTTCATAACACAAGTTTACTCATCTTTCCTCAGCCTTTATCTACTTTAAGAAACTCCTGCTTTACAGTGATGACCCCTGTTTACCTTGTCTCTAAACTGTGGTGAAAAGCAGTTAGTGTATTTCTTCCTTCTCAGAAAACATACTTTTAAAGGACATCTCTCTTATTGAATAGCAACTGAGAACAGAAACAAGTTCAATTCACATTTGGCACTAGAAGACAATATATTATAATTTTTAAGTGATAAATCCCCATCTCTCTATGAGTCAGTGTACTAAATACTATTATGAATAGGAAAAAAAATCAGTTTAATATCTTTTGTGTTTAGTTTCTTTATTTCATTATAAACATCTTTCATCCACACTGGAAATTTCTGACCTAGTTAGTCTGCTGCTAACCAATCTCCAATAGGACATTTCTATTAAGAAGTCATTAGGTGGGAAATTCACATTAGTCTATTTTATTAACAATTATATAAAATTATCCTAGGATTGTGCTTTCAATCCTATACCACGTGCTTCATTAGCATAATAAAGATAGCATTTCCTGTCAGGAACCAGTGGAATTACTTTTATTCTCCAACATTGACAATAAAAAACAGTATTTTGACAATCTGTCAGGTCTTGCTATGAAACATAATAGCTTTATTTTTAGTTGTAAAGATATTTATGACTTGTAAAAAACATAATTTACAAAGGAGATTTACCCTCACTGTCATAATCATCTGCAATTTCCTCCTCGATTCATTTGGCATTGGGTCATATTCTTCATTTCGCATGCTTTCTGGCTGCAGAACATAGCCAGTGCGTCCATTAAGTGAAAACAAGGCATGGTTCAATTGCATGTATTTATCTAGGGAGAGAGTTAAACAGTCATAACAGAAGTAAAAAACATTTGAATAAAGCTAAGGAACTACCAGAATAATGGCTTCTCTGTGCAGTTCCTCCTGGTTGCCACTATCTCAGAAAGAGCTGGAAAGGTAAGTTGGAAAACTCAGTTCCCTTCAGTAACTATATTTGACTGGTCGTTAATCCAAATAAATTCATCTCCATTCACAATTAGTTTCTTATCAGTGTGTCATAAGTTAGTTGGTCCCTTATTTGAAAGTTGCGTACAGCTTTCCCTGCAAATGAACAACGGTTCATCCACCTGAACTTCAGAGTAACTATCTCTGCTTATCATGAAGAGATAAAGGTGGAATAAACCTTTCAGAGGTAACAAGTGGGTTAGTCTGGCTCAGCGACAGGGAGACTGATCTGGGGGGACCAGCTCTAGCAAGGGATTCACATACGCAAGCTAACTTTAGTTTCTGCATCTCCCTTCTTGCTGTGAATTACAAATCAATAGAATAGCAACAGTGATTAGAATGGCAGAGAGTCCATAAAGAGGCTCATTAATGGTAAAATGGAAGGCAGATCAAACCCTTTTTCAAAGGGAATATTACCTGGAGTTTGGAAGTTAAGAGCCACCATCTGAGAGCCACAAAGCCAGAGGCGAAATGGGTCATAGTTTGATGAGTCAACCCTCTGTCCTTTAGGATAGACACGCGTCAGTCCCTTCAGGTTGTATTTCAGCAACTCAACTGGCTTTTGCTTAACAATATTTTCTGCCTTGGTTTCCACGAAAGAACGGATTTCTTTGAAATCGGGATTTTCTACAGAAGCGAGGGAGGAAAAGAAGAGTCATTACATTAGTAAAGGAAGAAGTCGACATTTATGCTGTATTTCTACTAACATTTTGGTTCACTTTGTTTTGCTTTGTCCTTTAATGCAGCAATTTCCACTGTTTTAATGCAGACACGGCAAATTGGTTGAACACCAGGTCTGAAAGTTAAAATTGCCTGCCTGCCTCATGTTTTGCAGCAGGGCAGATAGTCTGTAGTCATGCTCTCATCTCATCATTGCTAATAATGCACTTCTGACCACTGCAAGACATATTTAAATGAGACGTCTTTTCCTAGGTTTAAATGGAGAGAAGAAAGGGTGAGCCAGGGTTACCCAATGCCTCAAACAATGACTGTAATTATAATGTCTTAACCATACTGACAGCTTATTAAAAATGTTTGCAAAGAAGCTTAAGGAAGAAGGGCACATTTCCTGGCTTCTCTGGAATAAGAAGTACATATTTCAGTGTCAGATTCTACACCCACACTTACACAGACCCCAGTTTTCATTTATATTATGAAACTATTCCCAATAGCTTACATAAATGGCAAATACACCATTCTTATAGCTTATATAAATGGCAAATGCATAACAAATCCATTTTGAGGGTTCTTACAAACAAATTGCAAGTGTTCAGTCAGACTTTTTAGTCTTCAAAAAAGTCAACTGACACATAAATAGTGAACTTCCCTATGAAAGTTATATTGAGATGTCTTTAGTCAACTAGGTTAGAAATTTGTGACATTTGCAGGATCTCTTCTTTTAAAGCCTCCTTTCTAATGGAAATTCACAAACATTGAGAAGCTTTCTAGTCCTTACCGTGATTTTACTGACAGCAAGAATGCAATGCTATGGGAAATGAAAGCCTGAATAGTTTCACAATTGTTCTTGTCTCCTCATTTATGGTCTCTTGTTTCTCTGTCTCATATGACTAATTTGTTCCACATTTGGTACCACACTTAAGCCTTAGCAGGTTGAGATGTACGTTCAAAACAATTCTGATAAACCATAGGCTTTTACCTGACATTTCACAGTATGAATATCATCACGTTCCCCAGCGTGCAATTCAAATTGCCACTGAATACTCTCCATGGGTGATGCAGAATATTTTTTTCCCCATAGAGAAAGGATATCTTCAGTCCTCTAATTTCAACTAACATCTGTACAGATTAGTAGTAAAGTTAAAATTCAGGTGTAATATTAAAGAAAATACCTAAATTGTCCTTGGTTTTGCTTGTTGGCTTGCAGTAGATTACCAGATCAGATAATTCAATAGCAATCAATTGATTCTTTTCCCAGTATTTCCTCCTGTTCTCCTGTAAAATTTAACATTTTAGATTACAGACAACACTGGATATTATGGTACAGTAACTCCAGGGTATACTCTAACAAAAAGGACAAAGTTGATCCATTCCTCTTCACCCAGATTCCTATTTGATACTTAGAACACCTACATAAACGTTGTGTACCCAATCAGAGAACAGATTAATGAGTGTGTGTTTGTTTCTTAAAGAAAGTGTTTCTGAGTTTCCTTGAATCAGTTCCACTCAGGAGCTCGGCAACCATGTTTTACTATAAGAAACTAATAATTTGTTTCTGTTCGGTTTTAGATATATTCATGACTCTATACCTCATGTAAATGCAAATGTATGAAGTAAAAAAAATGTTAAATGTAGTGAAGTTTCTCACTATTTATTACCTTGAGCAGGACTTAGGTCTTGTTACTAATCCCCAAACAGCTAAACTTAAACCCTATGAGTATCATTCCTGGAATTTTGCATTTGCACATCAAACCAACAGTATAGTGTACGGTAAGTCATGTGCAATCGTATAGGCATCATCACTAATAAACCTAGTAGCTACTTCCCTCTTTGTAAGCACCTGCTATGTGGAAGCTGAGCCAAGGTCTTTGCAACCAGAGGCTGGAAGCCACTGAAATCAGCAAGACATTCCCCGAATGGAGACATTTTGGCTGGAGGCTTTTCAGACATAAGAAGCAATTACAGGATAGCACATGTTAGAAGAGCCCCATACTGAACAGCTATTAGCTTTGGTACAAGAGGTTATGAAGCAGCAGCAATTAGGAGGTCTTCCAAAAGAATTCCCTCAACAAGATGAACTGAAGAGGAAAGAAAAACCAGAGAAGCTGATGGGTTTCTACAGTGTTTCAATGAACCAGAGATTATACATCGAGGTCCAAGAAAAGCAAAGAGGAATACAGCATTAACACTTGAAATAGGCGGAGGAAAAAACTGCAAACACAGACTTCATGGTACTTAATGATAAAGCAGTTTCCCAGATATTGCACAACAGAATGTGGTGCTTCAAATACAAAGAAGCACTTCAAAATGCTGTGAGCTCATCTTTAGACATGACCCTCTAGAGATACCCAAACAGGAGAGCTAACAATGAACAACAATTCCTAGGAGCATGGCAGGTGTTAATATTAGAGATGACAAGGTATATGAAGCTCAGATATTTTTACTTTTTATATACAATGTACACAGCACAAAAATAAAGTGAAACCATGTCTGTATCATACTGCAGCATTGTGGTGACTCACTATGCTTTTTCCTTCCCCAGAATTCAGACTGTTAATTCTACTGGCAAAAAAGGCTTTTCCTTGTCTTTTCCCCCCCCCCATGCTGCAGACTATCACGTGAGCTTTCAAGAGGCCAAACTGAGAAAAGCCTCCTGACTGACAGAAACAAATTTTAAACCACCTTTGAAGACAGGCTGTTTAATACTTCTTTTACTGTACAGAGGGAAAGAAAGCTGGCAAGCTCCTGAAGAGCCATTGATGTGCTATAAAAAAACATTCAATTTAGAGACATTTCTTCTAGGTCGTGTTTCTCTTTTTCTCATTTTTATTTCTAAATGAAAGCCGTGCAATAATGACTACATCTCTCTTCCTCCAACAATACGCCAACAGTTCCTGTTGCTTCCTCCCTTGCTGAATTTGCTGTCTCCTCTTCTTGAGATACCAACTTGCTTGCCATAAATAGGATTTTGATGACCTTCAGAATATTACTACTCCAGAGGAAGGATAAACAACACAAGCCAACATGATACTGAAACATATTTTCCATTGTACATGCCACCCACTTAGTAATAAAAAGTGAATAAAAACAAGAAAGGAAAAAGTACACCTAAGTATAGTCAACAGAAGGGCACTTTGATCATGTCAGAAACTTAAATATCCAAAAAGAGAAGAGCAAAGTAAATTAATACTTCAGGGCAGGAACAGCAAGTCTTGAAGAATGTCCTTCAGTGGCAGTAGTAGTACAGGTACACCAATTAGGTTATTAGTTACAAATAAAGTATTTGCCTAAACAATTACCTATTCAATTCTGCATTCACTGCAAAGCAGAGTTAGTAAGGATGCAAAGGTGCAACAAAGACAGTACTCTGCTGAAAAACTCCTGTTAACACAAAACCAAAATGTTTTCTGATGACTGGCACTCTGCTATCTTGGGTACTATTCCCAAAAGGGTTCAGAGAACAAGATTCACAGAATCAGTAAAACGAACAGGCAAACAGTAACTTGCAAGAGAGTCTAGGATCAGGTCTTAGCAAGGTTTAGCAATATATGGTAGCTAAAAAATAAATAGTATTGTAAACTTATAACAGTACATTATAAAATAATGGGTATACTTTTTTTTTTTTTATCAATACCAGGTGTGTGCACACATATAGTTATTTATTAATCAATACCTCTTCTGCAGTTTTCCACGTGATTTCACGGATACTTTGGTACCATTCAAAGAGTTCTTCTACTTTATCAGTTGCAAACTCAACACACGGATCTTCTGGATTCTTAGGTTCCAGAATGAAGACAAAAGGCTTTTTGTGTTTCCCTTGTGGCATTTTCACTGTTAAGCAACAACAGTAGCAAGAAGTTTATACTAAAATCTAGAAGTAGAAGCTGCCCTTGATCTGTTACAACAGCTAGTAGTCAAGTTCTGGCCATTGTAATAAAGGTCTTACAGGGCTGAACAGTTAGTATTAACAAGCTTAATCATATTAATTTTATTACCTGTAGTAATACAAATATTCTTCAAAAACAAATCTTTTATAGTAAAAACAATAAAACTTTCTCAATACAGAAAGCCCACATGTAAGGATCAGAAAATACATACCAACATTGTATGTATTGAGTACCAGGATGCCACGACATAGAGAGCCTAATGGATTGTCCTCGATGATCTGTGAAAAACATGAGTTAAATCTGACCCTCAGTCTTCAAGTGCATTTAAAGAATATTAACAAATATTAAATACACACCATTAAATCTACTCTCAGTTTCACTGAAAGCAGGCCCACCGTAATATTTAAAAGCCTACTTCCATATCAAGAATTTCTCGTTCTGAGAAATAGATAAGAACTTCTGTACTGAGAGTCAAAATGAGGACTGCAACTTCTGCCATGACACAACCACTTATTTTTCAAGTCTGCTTAACGCTACTATCGTCAGAAGAAAACAAAAAAAATCTAATAAACATATTTTCCTCCAAAGGCTCCTGGCAAATCATTGGAAGTACTTAACAACAACAACAGAATAATGTAACATTTTATTTCTAATACTCCAGAAAGTAAAAATGAGTATCTTTGTCTTCTTGTCATAAATAGATCTTTGTTCAAGACTCTGGACTAGATTTTCTTAGACCCATTTGACAATCAGTATAAACGTTAGTTATGCATCAAAACATGATCCTCGACTATGAATAGAAGAATTATGTGTTTGGGCACATGTTTTTTCTATTTGCAAATATCTAGGGAGTAATCACACAGGCAAACTAGTTTCAGACACATTACTGTTTAGATAAGCTATCTGAAAAATCTATACCGGTATGATTTTCATTAGCATGAAACCATTATAACCTCTTAAAACCCAAGCAAATCAGCTATCTCCCTAAGTAGTTTTCCTTGATGGAAGTCCTGACAAAAATACTCAACAGCACAGAGAACAGTGAAGAACGCATTCATTTCTTTATTCTGCATTCCCTCAAACACAGCATGCACAGTCCTAGTATAAACTAGATTAGCATAAACTAGATTTCCACTTCCAGAGGGCAGCATATTATAGGGAAACACAGCAGACAAACCTTAAACTTTAGACAAGCTTCAAACCTCACCTGGCTTTCAAGCTCAGCAGAGTTATCAGATGACATGTCTTCAACATAATTAGATGGAAAATAGTGTTGGACTTTTTCTCCATAATCCCCCTTCCACCTAAATTAAATTAAAAAAAAATACATAGAGAAAAAGAAATTAAAGAGTTTCAACAGGCCATTAATGAAGCAACAATCTTCAATAAATTGGTCACTGATACCACTAGCTTCTCTAGCTGGCAGTCACCAAAATATAAGTGATGAAGTAGCTAAAATCTCTAACAAAGTGATCATTAACTGTAGTAACAGATCATTTCAGAGGGATTACAGTTACTGTAAACTGCAATTAATGACTTAAGAGGCTTTTCCCCCTCCAGTACTAAAAACACTATTATGTGGTTGATTGCACTGCAGAAACTACAGGGAAATATTAGGTTTCCAAGCTTTCTAAGCAATTTGCAAGCCAGCTAAGAAATAAAATCTTTTCTGAAAGGAGACCATACAGATAACTAAAAAAAAGTGGATTTGATTCCTGAGAAGTACCAAGCAGACAAAATGATACACAGCAATGATGATAATGGTAAAAGATGTGTGATTTCCCAGAATAGACAAGTGTTCAGGAAGTATTCATGTAGCAAAGGAAAAATACTGGATACGCTGGGATATGAAGGTTCTACATAGTGAGGTTAGTGCTACAGAGCAGAACAATGAAAAAGACAAGAAAAGAGACTTGAATTTGAGGGTTTTTGGTTTTGTTTAATATACTAGAATTAAGATTTGTAGGACTATAGTTAATAAGCAGCAAACAGTTATTTAAAAACCTACTACCCAAAGCTTAATTTATTTTTCTCCCATCTAGTAAGTCACTAGAAGTTTTCCTATGAGGAATTTTGTCCTTACCAGCCTCCAGTTTCCTTTGTGACATTATGAATTAGAGCTCCTCGACAGAAGCTCAATTCATCACTTCTTTTGGCTCTGTAGTCATACAAGGCTTTCACTGTTCTCTGAGGCTTTAAGAGAAGCAAAACAAAGGGGTCATCTATAGGGGGACGGGTCATAAAATGATCAAGAATGCAATTTTATTTATTTATTTATTTATAAAGGGTGAGGAGAATGGAATCAGATTTATTTTTTTTTTAAAGCTTAGAAATTGCAATACTGAAGTTCCAGAGTGACATCTATTGGTGGAAGCAAGTAATGCTACTTAACTGCTATTCTTTGCATACCAGCTTGGAAAATAAAAATTATTAAAAAAAAAAAAAAAAAAAAAAAAAAAAAAAGAGTACACCAACATAATTACTGTAGAAAAAAAAATAAAATTAAAAATAAAATTAAAAAGTGAAATATCAATCAACTATCCTCATCACATGTATTCATATGCATCTGTAGCTTGTAGACTTCGATGCAGTCTAAAAGCCTCCACTTCCAAACCACGTCAGCTATCCTTCTGGTCATACTTCCTTTATGAAGACATCTAGTTTCAGCAGACCAAGCAGTTGTTTTATCTTGAATTTCCTACCACTTGAATTGATGGTAAATGGTACCAACGTAAATGGCAGCAGCAATGTAAATTCATTAGCCAAAAAAAGATATATTTTTTTTGAATTACAGTCACAGAATTTACTAGCAGGTGAACTTTTATGAGAATCTACAAGTTGAATGCCCTAACAATAAGTAGAGAAGTAGCTGTTTGCTGTGTCACTTGTTATTTAATTTTGGGAGCATGCCCAGATAAGCACAGCTGATAAACCATAACACTTCCACAAACTCAAAAGCAGGAAGTGCCCAAATTCCCAGTATGGGTGAACCAATACAGGATTTGCACACAAAGTATGTAGGTACAAATTTAGAAGAGATACTAGAAAAAACGTCACACTTTAGAAGTTCTGCTGTCTAGTCCTCTGTAAAGCACCCTAACATTTTCAATTAACCTTTTTATTACTACTAACAGGAAGTCAACGAACAATTCTCATCATTTTCAGAAGTCTAAGAGAAAATGTGAAGGCCATCTCTCCTTAAGCATACCACTGTAGGGTTGATTTCACTGGGTTCCACATACATCTTGACATCATAAAGCGAATTTATATCTTTTTCCTAAAAATGGGAAAAAAAGAAAAAAGATACATTATAGGAATCAAAAATTAGATAACTAATGTTAATAGACAAGAAAATTTTGCTGAAACCACCTTTCTGACAATATATAAGCAAATAGGAGAGGAGGAAAGCCAGAAACCGATGGTAAGCTCATTACTACAGTTGAACACAGCTGAACATGAGTTTGTTATTTAACTTGTCTGCACCTCAGTTTAATGAACAGTTAATACAATGAAACAGCAATGCCTCACCAAATTTTCTCTTAATCAAATAGTTTTGAGATTGTGAGTACCATTCTGGGCACAACAGTGGAAGACAATACCCAAGCTCACAATTTCTGTGTTAAAGTACTTTAGTTCCAACAGTGGTTTCACTGTGAGATAGAAACTCTAAGACAAGAAAAGTGGTTTTAATATACAGTCATATTTATTCTTTTATTGGCATCTGCACAATCAATATAAGATCTCTGCCCACTCCAGTAACAGAAGAGAGGAACAGTGCTATTATCAAAAACTTGTTTCAGCAGAGCTACACCTCAATTTCACAGACTGTGTAAGCTCCCCTGAAGGACGTCTATCATAGCTAGAACCACACCCAGCTCAACCAAGTCTAAATCTGGGACTCAAAGGTCCATCACTCACCGTGCTGTAGCGCTCCAGCAGCTCTTCAGTCACCGGGTAACGCAATTTCATTTTCCTGTACAGAGGGTGCTTCTCGTAGTATGTTACAAGCTCCACTAAACTCTCAAAATAGGCCGAGGTTCCAAGCACAAAATGGGGACCTTCTTGCCGAATTCGGAAGTGCTTCACCTTCCCCTCAGCTCTGTGAAACAAGTACAATTGCTGTAGAAGATATTGGTACTTGGCATAATGAAAGCATCAGCACTGCATACTAGACCAGAATAGCTTCATGCATCTTAATCATATGAAATTGTTTCTCTCTCTTCCAAAGCATCTTTTATTCAAATCAAATTCCATTTGCCTGATTGAATTCACAAAAAGACATTCTCACTTTTCTACAATGTGCAGGGCCTTGGGACAAATCCATGTTTTTGCCTAGATTAAGTTTCCCTATTTTTTTCCCCACTACACATGGGTATTCTGTCACTTTCATACTAACTTAAATGTCTTGAATCAGACAGAATCCCTCTGGAATCCACTGCTGCTGATCTGCTCCTGTCCCTAAGCAACAAGACAAACTCACTTCAAATGTGATTTGATTTGAAGGCACAATGGAGAATGCCATAAGTCTATACATTTTATTAATGTTGTTGCAGGAACCACAGTTTCAAAAATATTTTCTCTGGCAATAAAAGCCTACAAGTAAATAGAAAATAGCTTCATTTTGACAGATAACAAATTAACTTTGGTCAGTTATATGACAGGGCAGGATTTCCAGAGGATAAAGGCCTTGAATTGCTGCTGAACCAGCACCAAAAGGAACTTCAAATAGCACCCTGCAGCAGGGAGCATCAAAGAAATGAAGACAGGTCACACGCAGTTCTGTATACGAAGAAAGGGACAGTTGGTGCCCATATGCTCTTTATAATAGCATAAAGGTTTATTCCAGTCACACACTTAGGTTGTACAATTTCTTAAGCACTTTTTACTACGTATAGACCTACTATGTAAATTAACTGTACTAATTACTTCAAATTTGATGGCATGAATTTTATGACTCCAAAAAGCCCATAGTATTTTTAAATGAGAAAAAAAAGAACACTGTTGGGCTACTAGGTAATGTATTCATATCCATCTTTTCTTACCTGAAAGTCATGGCAAACGAATCAGGCTCATCTCTCTTTCTAATCAGAAAGGCTCCATCTCGAGGGATTCGCATCAGCATGTCTTCTGCCTCTCCCCGACTCAAGTTGCTATAGTACCAACTACAACAGTCAAAAATCAAAATGGACTAGGATTACAAAGCTTGTCGAATGTCATTCAGTAACAATAACAGTGTTTACTAGCGATAGAATTAACATTACTAATGATAGAATGTTACATATATAATGTTATATATATAACATTATAATGAGGTAACGTTACTAATGATAGAATCTCAAACACTACGAGAAAAAATAAGTCATTTAATATTTGTTTTATATTTGGACAGGCTGAGAGTTGGAGTTGTTCAGCTTAGAGAACAGAAGAGAAGGCTCGGGGGAGACCTTGTAGAGGCCTTCTGGTACCTAAAGCAATGCTGCAGGCAAAAGGGGGAAAGATTCTTTATTGGGGAATGCAGTGATAGGACAAGGGTAATGGTTTTAAACTAAAAATGGGAGATTGAGATTAGATACAAGGAGGAAATTCTTCATTACTAGGATGGTGAGGCACTGGCACAGGTTGTCCAGAGCAGCTGTGGATGCCCCATCCCTGGAGGTGTTCAAGACCCCACTGGATGCAGCCCACCTAGCGAAAGGTGGGCAGGAAGGCTGGAACTAGACAATCTTTAAGGTCTCTTCCAGCCCAAACCATTCTATCATTCTACGATCTAAATTCTTTCACTCAGAACTTAATTATATCTTTCACTGTAAGGACAGACCTAACATACCTTCAGTGTAGCTGTGACCAGTACAATGCCAGTACATCTCCACCTTATACGTACATACAGGAAAGCCAAACCCTTAAATTGTACCCTCCTCTCATGCTGCCTTCAAAAGTTATCTATGCACACACAGCGACTCCCAGATCACAAGGGGAAGAAAAGAAACTTTAGGTCACAGATTTCTATTTCTCAAGCAAAAAACATTTTCTCTTTTTCTGATTGCAGAGAAAACAGATCAAAGGGCAATGACTAGAGTGCTCTGCCAACAAACAAGAGCAAGCTCTGCCCAAGATTTATGTCAGGCAAATAGCAGCTGGAAATAAACACCAAGCTATACTACTCCCAAACAGCATGGGGTCAAGTAAGCCTAACCAACTCTGACAGGGGTCAGTTGGAAGTGGGGATCAGGGAAAAGTAACTCAGTTTGGGCTCACTGCCCGAGTAATAGAAGTTTTCAGATGGCACAGACCATGACCACTTAGTTGACAGGTCACAGTCAACTACTAAATATCTAACCCGGCCCACTGGGTACTGTAAAACACTGAGCAGAGAATGAAGGAATTGCACACTTCCACAGCATTACAGTTCTCACTGATTGTTCTAGCTATTTCTAGTAAATTGCTTTCCAGGTGACTGCTCTCTGTTTTACCATGTTCTCACAAAATCAGCGCTCTTACTCAGCGTCCTTCAGGGAAGCTTATACCTCTGATATCCACAAACAAGCAGCACTCAGGTGTGCTCCTGAATCTGGGGAATTTTCTATGCAAAAATCCAAGACCATCAAAAAAAAACAAAAATATTCTGTATCATAACAGCCCTGGTGCTTGCCTTCTGCTGTACGTACTCTTTATTTTCGTGTGGACTGGGATTAGGCACAGCATCCGTCAGACGCAGCTCAAATTCAGCACATCTCAAGTGGGCCTCTTTGTAGTGTTGAATGAGATCATAGATGCTATCAAAAGTGAGGTTGTCTGTCAGGTAGTATTTCACAGTGTCCCCATCACTTGAAGAACGGATACGGCAGTGCTGGACTCTACCTGACCTCCTGAAGATGTGAAGAGGGGGATAAGGAAAAGAAAGGTATTTAACAGCTTTTATTCTTTTAAGCGTTTCCTCAAGCATTCCTGGTCAACTATGTGGTAAGCAAGAAATCTTTACTATCTCTTAAAATAACTGAAATAACAACAGCAACAAAAATGCTGACCAGTGATAATTACAGTCCCCAAAAAATTATTTTTCAACCCACAATGGTTCAAAAGGTGACAAATACTTAGTCCCTTCAAAGTTTGTTCTGACAACAACAACAAAAAGAACACACAACACATCATGGAAAAATCCATTTCACCCCCAGGGGACTCTTTCATTGAAAAGATCGATCTCTGCTAATAAAGGTAAACTCACGAGAAAATGATTGTGGAAAGCGTGGATCAGTGTGAAAAACAATAATTTATCCTAAAACTAAAAAATCAAATTTTGGCCCACTCACTGAGGAAATAACAAAGCATACATCCTGACAGAGTGGAAAAAGGAAAAAGACATCATAACAGGGAGTCCCTTCTTGACAACTGCAAAACTTCAAATAAAGTCTACTTTGCAAAAACTCACTATTCAGTGCACAGAAACTCTATTTAGAAGGTAGTCTCTCAATCCCATGAATACCATTCTAGTAAATATAAACACCCTAATCCTATTTACTCTTGGCTACACCTGCACATTTACAAAATGCATATATTTTTATGCAATGCCATAAGATAAACAAAACCCATGTACAGTTTTTATGATGATCACCATACCAGAATGACAAGGTGCAATCGTTAGGGAAAGCCTCACTTTCCCTAACTAGGAACGTCCCATCCTTGCCACCCATTTCAGCACAATATTCCTGGAGCAGCTTCTCAGCAGTTGTTCTCCCCTCTTTCATTTTCCCATGGAACCACTTCTCTTTTAAGTGCAGGTCAGTACGCTTTACCTCCTAGACCAGAAAATAAGAATTTTTATTGTCCACTTCTAACTTTATAATTCTAATACAAAGTACTTCCTCTTGATATAACAAGCTTCTGTTTCAGGATTCCAGCTCTTCTCAGATCTAATTCTCCTTCCACAAGCAATCTGATCACCTTCATAGGCACACTTGACAATTCAAGTCACTCATTCAAGTCATTCAAGCTACTTCTTTGGATCAGTGACCAACTTAATCCTTATTTAAATATGTAATCAACATACTGAGAAATACATTGATAAAGTGAAAGAACACAGAAGTGCAAATGCTATTTTATATTTTCAAAGCAAAGCACACTACTGCAAAATCATGAAGTTTCTATTCCACTTTTTCTGGAATCATCTCTGTTACATTTGATTACATGCTAATGATTTTAATAACATTGCTATGTAGGTGAATAGATAAAAGGTTTTGTGTGTGCAAAGATCTCTCTGAACTATACTATGCACATACATGTTAGAAATGAGAGTATGCATGGAAACCAGAAAAAGTCAGAACAAGAAACCACGCTGAACATAGCTGAGTCTCATGCTTCTGTTTTACCAAGCATGACAGACAAGCAATGCACACCTGTGACAAACACTTTGCATGTGTGAAATGAATAGCATGCACTATTGTACACTGTGTAAAAGGTACACTGTATTAGTACACAACAAACCTTAGTTCATCAGACTGCCTAGTCAGAGAACAGCAATACTCAGCCAAAGGCACTTAAGAACTTCAATTGTCAGTGGGCACATCAGCATTAGCATTTAACCACCAAAATCATATTTAATTGTACTTGTACTCACCTTTGTATGTCCTCCATTAGCCAAAGGGAAAAAAGATATTTTATTTAAAATAGGGTTAGATGCAGTACCTCAGCAAAGACCCCTTTTTAAAAAAAGTATTTGCAGATACATGTGTTATCTGATACAGACCCTCTACAATTTCTGTAACGTCAGCATAATGACATGCATCTGTAAACACTGAAATAATCTGAGAGATTAAAAAGAACACACTTAAGTGATAAAAAGTAGCCATCACCTTTGATGAATCTTCATCAGCATTCTGTTCTATATCATCACTGAATGAAAGCTTTTCATCAGCAATAGCACAGTAGTGCCGAGTCCATTTCTAGAAGTTGAGAGAGATTAAAACCATTAACAAAACAGAGTCAAACTCACTAATTACAATTTCCAGTTAGGTGTAACACTAAACAAAATGCCTTCTCCTCGCTCACATTTCACGAACTGAGGATATTACACAAATATTGAGAAAATTCATGTACATATTACACAGCATAGTAACAAACTTTAGCAGATGTCGCATAAACAATACCTGTTCTATTGTGTCCCACATGTAAAGTTCTCCTTGTTGCTTTTTTTCTTCTTTCTTATCTTCTGGGTTCACATCAATGTCTCCTTTTGGCCCTAGTTTTTTGTGCTAAAAAGAAAAAAAAAAAAATAAACATCACATTCTTACACTCATAGAGGATTATATATAAAATTGATCGTACAGTCTCAGTGCATTCAGTATTACTGGAGTTATTTCCCTTCATTGCCCAGCTTTCTTCTGTTATTGCCATAACAGCAGCTGTTCCACAAAGCTTTATGTAACCTTGGTAGAATTTATCTCAAAAATGTTTATCTATTTATCTCTTGATAAAGATTTAAAAAGATAATACAGATATCATTCAAGCAATGAAGAAACAGCTAGTCTGATAAGAGCTCACAATTCTTTACAGGACAGAAAGCTTGAAGTGACACTTGCATAACAAGAAATAAGGACAAGACAATAAACATTCTGCAGACAGCAGGACATAAGGAGAACCATAAGGAACTAAAAAATACAAAAAAAAAAAATCAAGAACAGAAGAGGAATTAAAATGAAGGGGAATTCACTCTCCTAAAAGAAAAATGATCAAACATGATATCTTGTGTGAGAAGAGGGGTGAGTTCTACTTTCTTCTTCTCCTTGCTTTCTAAGTCCTGGTTTAGAGAGAACACTACAACTGCAGTGTAGCAACAGAAGAGGCAAACCCAGGAAAGACCTGGGTACTGCTACACAATTAAGCCCAGATCTGTCTAGCAGAAGGTAGGTTACCACACAGATGACACCAGTGCTTGCAGTGGAGGTGAGACAGCTCTCAACTAATTGCTGCTGAAGTTCATGGGGTTTTTGTGCAGCACATAATTTGGCTGACAGAGAAATACAAGCCAGAGTCCTTGAGAAGCATTTTGCATTAAATTGTACTATGTCCTCAGTTACAATGAAAAATGATGATGCAACATTTTAGACCATCCTAATGCAGCAATGAAAAGCTTATGACAGGGCATGACAGGGAAGAGCAGACAGCAAGTGAAAATAGCCCACAGAGCTAATCCTTGTAGAAAAGGTTGAACAGATGAAATTGCAATAGCTGGACTATTCTAAATGAAGACTAAAAAAATGAAGCAGGCTAGCTACAGCATAAAGAGCAAAATAGATAAGAATAGTTTTTGTTGCAACTTCTATGATTTTATTATTCTAAGACCATTCCTTCTCTAAAAGTACATTAGAAACATTTTTAAGTGATCAGTGTGCTTTCATACACGCCAGTTTTCAATTAACTACAGGCTGAAACAATACAACACAGGCTATGTCGAAGGGCAAGGCTCAGCAATTGGAAGCGCTCACAAAAAGCAGTGGCTCAAGGGGCTAAAGAACATCAAACACTTAAACCACAGTTAATGATAGGATTAATCCTCTCATAGCTAGTAGTTTTCAAATACATTCAATTCTGTGTCTCCTATAGGAAGATTTCAATCTGACAGGCCTATCTGAAAAATCCCACAGGCCCCTAAAGCAGGACTCAACTTGGTTTGCCAACTTTTTCCAGACAAAAGCCAAATACCACAACCAGCTTACTGGCAGGTGTGGATCTATTTACAAAGATTCTTTACTTCTCTTTTAGACAAGAAGGGATGATATGGATGTTCTCTTGTGCAAAATCACAGTAGTTTGTAGTTCTTTTTAAACCAGATCTGTCATGTTATTATTCACATGCCTATACAATTTCCCTTCTATGCTCTACATCATAACAATAGACAGTTTAGAGAAAGGAAGAAAGAAAAAAAAATAAGCAGAGATTTGAATTCTCTGCTTCCTGATCTTCTGCACCTCGCAGTGGGGTGCTATCATTTCCAGTCCTACATTGAAGAACCATATGCTTATATACATCTAGATGCATCTATTCATCATTGTTTCTTCTGTTCAGCAGTTCAATCCATGTGAGGTAGTACTACCGCAAGAGACAGAAAACAGAAGCATAGGTAAAAGCAATTATTGTACTATCATGAACAGCCCCCAGATTATCCACCTAATTTTGCCCTTCAGTAAGTTCTACTGCAGTTTCAATCCAAGAAGTCTTCTTTAAGTTTTCTGCCTGATGCACAAGAGTGCCAAGTAAAGCATCTGTATTGCCCAGCAGGTAAGACACCCTCACAGTGACTGCCTTCTAACAAAAGCACCGCAGTCTTTCCAAAGTGGTTTACTAAATTGTGTATGTAAATCACACCGAGTGAGTAAATGCCAATCAATTTTTGCAGTTCACCAAGTAAGCAGTCCTGACAGCTTAAGTCAGCAGTCTGCAAGTGCTTTGAGTTTTACTTGAAGGACAGACATCCTCTGAAAAAACAGTTATCGTTAATCCTACTTTCTATTCAAGAACATACTTTTAATATTTCTTAGCCAGTCACTAATTGTGTAAGAAGCCTATGAAGAGCATCTGCAGCACTGACATTTCAGGAGCTGGAAGACCTTTAGAAAAGAGCTGACATTCCATCTGGCACTTGAATTAGCAACATCTATTGCAAAGAAAACCAACAGACAGTATTTTAATAGGTGTCTTTATGGAACTCCATACAATATTATGAATTTTAACTAGTACACACTTCTAGCATGGGGTTTCTTGTCTCTTCAACAGAAACCAACAGTTAAGCTATGAAGCCAGCTGACCACTTCAGCTCTTGTTTTTATATTTTATCTACAAGCACACAACACAAGCCTACCTTGATGATGATTTTTTCTTTCAGCTGGGTTGGTGATGGTAGCTGATCTGCACTGGCTTCAACTGGTTTAGTTAAAAGCTGATCACCAAACACCTCCTTGAACACTCTGGCCATGTATCGCTGCTGTTCCACACTACAGTGCTCTTCAATTGACAGAATGACTGGGTATCTTTGAAGAAAACAAAAGAAAATTAAGACATTCAGTTTCTTTTTGATTCAACTGACAAGGCAAGGAAAACACCACATTCCCTCAACCCCTAGATCAAAGAAAGTATTTGAAGCAAGCACAAAGAAAAAATGAATAGACGCACAACAGATAAAGTCAGAAGGGACCTCTGGAGGCTATCTAACCCAAGTCCCTTCTTTGGGAAGGCCCAATTCCTAAGTTAGATCAGGTTGCTCAGAGATATGTCCAGCCACATTTTGAATATCTGCAAGGATAAAGATTCCTTAAGGGTTTTGGGAACAGTTTCAGTGTTAAGTGTTCTTGCTCCCAATTGTTGGCTAATACTTTTCATGTTAAGGACATCTCAGCACAAGGTTTAGAAGGGCAAAGCAGAGATTAAAAATTCAGATTAAAATTCACGTTATCAGTTCAGGAAACATTCTATGAATGTTTCTCTCCTAAGACCTCCCTACAACATGACTATCAACCCAATAGATACATTGCTTGTCACTTGTAGTTTGTTTTGATATTATTTATTTATTTATTTATTTTTAAAAAGTCATACTGTTCAGGATTTGACGTTTCACACTTCAGTTCAGTAAAAGAAGACAAGTGAGGAGAAAGGAATCCCTTTTAAGGTATTAACTTCCCCAGCAGTAAATTGTTATGTAGCAGCACCTTTTCTCAAAGACAAATCCATTAAAAACCCATGTTGTGCAATAACGAAGACCAGGATGACATAATTTCATTGTTTCTTTTACCTTTAAATCACAGGGAAAAAAGTTCAGGAAGGTCTAAGCATTCAAAAACAGACTTAAGAAACATAAATCAAAGCTTACTCGGATGCAACAAAGGCATGATCTTTGATTGCTTGTACTACATCATCAAATTTGATCTTTGTTGTCCGTGTCCATCCGTGGTAAATAATGGGTTTCCCATCAGGACCATCCCAGCAGTCCACTAGGAAAGACAAGCAGTGGAAAAATTAAGACACCAAGTAGTTACTTAACTCTAATAAACGGAATACAATGTACATTCAGTTCTTCAGAGCATTTCATACATGGATTCATACATTCATTTCTAATAAAATATTCTTAGATGAATTTGTCTATCTCACGGAGGAAATTATATTGTTCTTACTGAAGTGAACTTACGTAAAATACAGTATAATTTTTTCCCAAAGCATTATTATGTGGGAATCTGGAAAGAATTCAAGCAGCTAAAACTTGTTTACAAGTTTACATTAATTTTCCATGTAGAAATACATTCTAACAAGTTGGTTGCATATCTATTTTTCTGATTTTAACCCTGAAACTCTGAGACACCTTTTGAAACACCCAAACTGAATGGAGTCTCTTGTTAATTGTTACAAATGTAAACCAGGAACTAGCTTAATAAGAAAGTGGTCAACAACATGAAATTCAAGTCAAACCTTTTAATAAGGAACACAGACACTGGGTTGAAGAAGCATACAGACTTAGTAGAGAACAATGACACAAAGACATCAACTGATTTACATGCAAGTTAAACTGGATGACAAATAGCACCAAATTACAAAATTCTGAGACTTAGGCTTGTCTGTATTATGATGAAGGCAAATAAGCTTTTCACCTATCTACACTGCACAAGTAATTCAAATTTAAATCTTATGCTTTCATATAGCAGATCGAAGATTGAATTGTTTGTGTACAGTGAGAGTCAGACAGAACTTCTTGGAATTCCCAGGGAACAAGGACCAGAGCAAGTAAACAGAGCAATAATGAGGCATAACAAAAACTATTTAGGGAATCAGTGTTTTTCATATGACTAACTAAAAGTTAAAAAAGAAAAAAAAAAAAGAAACAAACTAGTTCTTCATTTCGGTTCTTTTTTCTTTCTTGGTAAACAGGGGAAACCCTGCTTACATGAAGAGTATGTTATAAACCACTCCACAAGTTCATTACTCACACTCAATACATCGGCATCCCATTCTAAGGCACCTGATGTAAGCTTCTGTGGAGGATTCACTTCGAAGCTGGTCTCCTGTCAGATATCTAAGGGATAAAAGAAAATTGTAAGAGAAGACAGGCAACCAGTTTCAATTATTTCCCACTCACTCACTGGGCAAAATGTTTTCTCCTGTTATGAAGGCTGTATGTTGATTGGTTGGGTTTTTTTCCAAACTTGCTATGGAAGAACTGGGCTCTGCAGAACCAGATACTAACAGATTTTTGAATAGACAAAATTATAGAAGGTTAATTTTCAATCAACTCTGACAGGTTCCTGGAGAAAAAAACATAAGCTCTGCACATATACATAGCTGATCATGTTGAGACATAATCACAGTGGAGGGATGAGTATTTGGAGTGATACCACACCCTATACTTCAAGTTATCTAGCAGCTATATCCATATCCACTTCATTTCATTCCCTGCAGTATTTAATTTGTTCACCTCTCCTTACTCTCTTTACATGCTCTTTCTTTTTATTACAATGCTAGATGAGAAAAATTCCCATTCATTTGAAGAAAGTTCAACTCAACACCACATAGGATTTAACTTTAGCTAAAGAGCTTGCACACAATGTATTATCAATGAAAAGGGCTGGATGCCTTAGGCACAAGCTATGGAAATAAGCAGCTAAGTTACTAAGCACAGAACACTTCCAGATTGTCTTCCAGACAAAGACAATTAATAGCCAAGCCCTGATCAGCAGGTATGCTAATTTAAAGTCCCCATATTCTTTTCCTGCTCAGTAACAAACCTTTTCTGCTTTTTGACATTGTAAACTGTCAACATACCTATCAATAGTGCACACCACCACTGCCTCCTTTCCCAACACAACAAACCCATTGCCCCTTAGATCACACTAGCAGCATGGGATTTTCCCACAGGACAAGTTGGATCCTTACAGCATTCTTACGTTCAGGTACAACTGATGTTGAAATAGGCTTAGCAAACTCTGCTGGTGCTTGGAAAAAAGAGAAGCTCCTTCAGTAACTTTGATTTCAGAAAACATAGATGCTGGAACAGTTTTAAGTCAAGACTAATTTTTCTAACACAGCTCGGAGTTTGAGGGTGTTTGTTTTTTGTTTTTGTTTTTGTTTTTTGTTTTTTTTTTTGCAGCAGAGCTTATTAAGTCTCAAAGTCTGTAAGATTAAGAGAAGGGGAGAAAGGAAATCCACATGCTGTTTTTGCCACATTTACATCACACTTCAGGAAGACTTCACACATCCAGACAGTATATTTCTGGATATTATAATTTAAAATGTTTTACTTTCTCCTAACATGTGCCAGGTCTGTTTGAACAGATAGATAATGGGACTTCTGATAACTTACGTGTTATGAGAGGAAGAAATCCAGTAATGGGACAAAGGATTATTCATGTCCTGCACATCTATTGAATCATATTTCTCATCCCAAATACTGTTTTCTTTTGCAAAAAGGTAAGTGAGGAACTAAAATGCAAAGAGAGAGACCGAATTTAAATGTTTTAATCATACAAGAACATAAGAAACCCAACAATGTAGCAGGAACATCCCAAAGGATCTGTCAACTAATAAACAAACTAGGAACTAGCAGCAAAAGAAAAAAATCCATGAGAAACCATTACAAAGCATCATCAGTTTACCTCATCAACAAAGAGGAAGGGTTCAGCAGTTTCTCTCATAGTGTCATCTATAAATTTGGTCATTCGTTCTCGGACTTTACTCAGATCTTGTGCCCAAGACTCCTTCAGATAATAAAGTAGAAAACAAATTTAGATGTGGTGATATGCTATATAAAATCTGACAAAGAGCAGAACCCTACAGCTGTGATTAAAGCTTCCATTTCAGATAGCTTACTGACAGTATATTTCTTTGTACTCACATCTTAAGGGTTTCCTCTACGATGTTGAAGAGCGAAAAAATAGCTGAGTACCTTTATATAGATTGGAGGCCCACGAGATCCACACACTATGTATGTACGTATATGCATGCACGCACACAGGAAAAAGCTGGCCTCCTTGAAATATATGCCTTAACTATATTCTGTTCACACATCTAAGTGCAATCTGAATGTACTTTTAACACAGTGAAATAAGGAGAAAAAGAAATTAGCAATCTTATACAGGAAGCATAGATCTCACTTTTCATTCATATTTGCAAACCTGCAGTTCATCAGCACCTAACAAATATAACACTAACTAGCTAAAAGGCATAGGAGGCAAAGAACTGGAATGTGGACAAATTCCAACAGCAGTCTTAGACCCACTCCATTATATCCTTTGTGAAAGTATAGCCTTAAAGATTGGCCTATGTATCAAATTATGATTTTTCTTTCACAGTGTCTGTGCTAAATAAGATTACAGAAGGCCATGAAGACAGTTCCAGTACCCGCTTCCACCCTTATCTGCTTGCTGGTATGGAACATCAGACTGGCCCATTCAAGAAGAAAATTACCTTTGACTCAAATGCAGGCAGTCAGCTCAGCTTTTTACATACAAGCTGATAAAATGGGGCCATGGCCAAGGTATTACCCCTAGCTGTATCTATGGTGACAGCTGTAACTAGGCCAGGCTATCATGCAGGGTTTATTTCCAACCTTGTCCGTTTATCTACATGACAAAACGAAGACCTGCTGAAACATTATTTACTTTTTCCTGCCTCTCTTCTTCTGGTGCACCTTCAGAGACTTTTATATGGATGAAAAATAATAGTTTTTGTGAACTTCAACAGCGGCAAATAAGAAGAAATCTTTCCAAGACCTAGTAACCTAGTATCATAGCTGACATCAATCACATTCTGTGTCATATCTTTTTCTATATATATTTTTTTAAGGAGCACATAATATTATGAGACAGCGAAAAGAGCTCAAAATTTCTGTAACATTCCCACCTGCTGCTCATGTAGCAGGAATCTCTGAAAGTCATGGAGATGAACTGCTGAAGCATCTGGGCGGTCAGTATTTCTTTAAAAAATAAAGAGAGAAAGGAAAAGTGAATCTAAAGAAACAATGGAGAAAGCGTCATCAGATGTCATAGAAGAAAATGTCAGGGATTTGTATCTTGTATTTACAGTATAAATGTGCTGCCGCCAGGAAGAAACTTTTTATAACTTCAGTGGAATTGAGATGAGGCTTGTAATACTGTATTACCTAATCACTGTAATTTGAGCCTTTAAATAAAACCTCCTAGAGTCCTGATATAATTTTGATAATTATTCATTGGGAAAAATACCAAATATCTGTTCATTGATCTGTAGCAAATGAACAGCATTCACTTCACAGGTGTTCTCTTAAGTTTATTTGAGGCACATGGAGAGACTGTTCTTTTGAATTATCACCAAGCCACACATCCACAGATAATTCCCTTCCATATATTATCTACCACAGTAGATTGCCTGAGTAAAACTTCTTGAAGAAAGATGCAAAAATGCAGCCACACCAACAAAAAAGAAGCACAGCTGCTTTCCGTTTTGTAGGACACAAATGTTGCATCATCTGGTACCAATAAGGCATTTATAACCTTGCACATCCTTGAGAAATCTGTGGTTTAAAGCAGTCTCACCAGTTTAATTTACACAGCGTGACCAAGGGCTAGGGAAATGCATGGTATACTCAGAACAAACTTTTAAAACAACTTCCTTCATCTGTGGTGATATTCAAAGCTAAGATAAACTGGTTTAATTTGTGGTCAAAATAGTAGCAGCAGAACCTGAGACCTCTCTTTTCACTCTGTACACATTTTACTAAATTTTCCAAGTCCACCAAGTGAAATTTGTAGAAACTGTTAGCATTAGTGTTCCGCTCGAGTCCAGGCAAAGCCTGTGCACCACACCACTCCAGTTTCAAGTTTTTCCATCAAATTGTCCTTCACTAGTTCTGTTCTGCACTTGGTAAAATCTAAACATGTCAATTTGGTTGTTGGAGTCCATGCCATTTTTCTTCTAGTCAGATGGTAAAAAACATTCAAACAACATCCAGAACTTATTTCCATGATAAATTCAGCTTTCTGAATGCAATAAGATCCATGATTTCTTTTCACTTACTAAAGCATAAGAACAAGAGCCAGTGACATAATTAAAAAGTCCTGCAGCACTGCTACCATATGTGTACTATTTGAAAAAATAACACAAGAGCCTTACCCAAGAATGAACACAGAGGAATCCTTTTTGAATTCATCGAGAATCTTTAAAAAGAAAAAAAGGGGTGGCAGACAAGATTAAAAAAAAGAAATAAAAGAACATGCAATTCTCCATCTAATGACACCTACTGGTTTGGACAGGGAAAAAACATGCACTTCCACTCTAGAAAAGCTGCATGCAAGTTGACAAGATACATTTTGCATTAAACACAGTAAGAAAAAAACTGCCAAGGGTGGCGATTGCATGTCAAACCTTCCAATGTAAAGGCACATAATTCTCAGGCAAAAAGCTTGCCGTTGTTAAGAATGAGTTTTCTGTGGAGGTTTTATTGTTTGATAGCTCACAAACATTGGAATTGTGTATCTTCCATCATATTTACGCATTTGAATGTAAACTCTAAATTGCTCCCAGCTTGGAGCAGCCTAGTTACAGATCACAGGAAACTTATCAACTGCCCCATAGCAGTTGTTGAGCAAACTGAGGAGTTTCTTTGAAATGATCCACAAGTGGCGATAACACAAGTTTAAGGAAGTCAGATAACCTCTTTATTTTGTGTTTTACTCTTCAACCTTCTGCTTAAGATAAATTTCTAGACTTTCATAATCAAAAATAAAACCTTATCAGTACACGGAGATTAATAATTACTTCACAACAATTTTAGCATCACTTTTAAGCAGCACAAGAAAGCACTACTGCCAAAAGAATCAACATTGGCTTTCACTATCGAAGTTTCCATTTCAACAACTGCAAGCTGAGTTAACAATATGCATGTCATCAATAAAGATATGTATGCAAGTAATTTCAAAGCATCTGTTTTCACACAGTTACAAACAGTTCCTAATTTTCAGAGTCACTAAACACATGCAGGTTCCAACTTCATTAATCTTTGCAATTAATACAAGGAAACAGTAGTTAGGCAGTTAATCCACTGCATTTATTTTTCACGAGCACTGTCTGAAGCACATCATGCTCTGGAACTCAGCGCTTGTCATCTCTGAGCATGAGACACAAGAACAATAGCTGTTACTTGATGTTCAGGATATACCCCAGTTGTTTACAGAATGTTCCTTGTAATGCAAGATTAATACAAGTATGAAAAAATATTGCTTCTACCAGCAAACAGATCAACCAAACCAAATGCAAAGACATTCTAGATACTAAACAAACTCACAAGAAAAATTCTTCCTAGAAACCCCATTACATCTGTGCATATTTTTGCTACCAATATACAAGAAACAATGTGAATGACTTTTTCATCTCCTTAAGCCAATTGTTGATGGTGACTGTTAACTTTACATCAAGCACAGTACTATAGCCTTTCTGTTACAAGAATGAGGAAAGACAAAAATGCTAATAAAAAACAGCATTCACTCTTTATTCTGATCAGTTTAACATTATGAAGACTAATTATAAAAAAAGCTTACCGATCTCTGTTGTTCAAACATGATTTTCTTGTAGAACAAATGAAATTGTTCAAAACTAAGTTCTTCTTTGTGAGCACCTATTTCCTACAATAGAAAGTAGCACATAGTGAATTTAGAATTCCCTGAAATGCATTTGCACAGCATAGAAGTTACTCCTCTTCTAGCAGCCACCCTCTCATGTGTTCAGTTCTACTCTGACTTCATTTGTTCTATGTTTGAGGATTATTTTCTATTTTTTTGTTTAAGAACACAAACAAGTAAATAGGCTCTTGGTTCATGACACAGTACTCCTAAGCCCACATCTTTGGCCTTTTATTTTGTACTCTGACTATTTCCACTATGTTACTGAGAGTGAAGTAGTGCCTTTTTCAGTCATAGTTCACTGGAGCAACAGAAGCAAAAATGTATGCTTTAAGGGTGGCGAATTACAAAGCAGGAAAAGGTGGGGATATTTAAAATTCCTGTAGGAATGGAAAGGACCTTCAGAAGCTAATAGTATTACCATAAACTGGAAGAAAGAAGTTATTAATTTGAATATATATAATAATATATCAATAATTATTGATATAATTCTTATATATGAATTTTATCTTCAATATCCAACAGTTTCCTGTGCACTTGCACAGACAGTATCAGCACCAGAGCTCCAAGCCCAGTGCTAACGTTAGGCAATCCTACAATGAAAAGTAGGAACATTTATGTCTGTATTTTCTTAAAGTCTTACATACTGGCAAAATCAGACTTAGAAAATCAGTATAATTTATTTAACTGTACATGGTAGCAAACAAAAATACATGTAGTAACCTGAACAGAAATATCAACACCTATCAGATAACACAAAACAGATAGAATTTATCAGGTAATTACCGCAAATTTATCCTTCAAGAACTTCATGCTGCTCACTTTGAAATTTACTTGGGGAAGGACAGTTTTCAGCTCTCTAAGACTAATACTGGAAAAAAAGAAAAGATAGAGAAAAAAAAAAACACACAACTTTGTTGTAATAAGCCAGCTACTACAGATAATACTAAATATCTATAGATATAGGGGTTTTTTTAATCAACAAAAAACTGTTACTACTGAAACATTTTGGATAGGACTCATCTCTCATAATTACTAACTCCTATAAACTTAACACCTACATGTAAGCAAGCTAGACACATTTTCTAGTTAGTGGGTAGAAACAGTCATGTCCACTATTTGGGGCATTAAGCTTTTAAACAATACAGTGACGTATATAAATACATCAAGTATTTCACAGAATCACAGAACGCAATACATAGATACAAAGCTAAACTTATTGCTGCAACACCAGCCACACCACTCGAATCATGTCCAGTGTATGTCAGATATTTTTTTGTTGATGGAAGACTATATAAGAAACAAAACTGTAAATAGCTCCATCTGAAAAACTCAATTTCCTTCACATCTTCCCATTCTTTCAATCTCAGATGTTTCTCTCATCAGCCTTCACTTCTGTAGCTATGGCTTCCTTCAGTACAACTTCAGAGCAGATCACAATATATGGTGTACTTATCCTCCAAGAGTAAATGGGAGGTAGGGCCATGCTATGCTAATTCTTGCATGAACAAAACGAGGGTTGATTTCTATAGGAGCCAGCTGCCTAAATGCTTTAGATGTGTAGTTGGTATAGGTGAGACAATCCAACAGCTCACTGCTGTTACAAGAAGCAACCCCTCTCTTTGCTCTTGTTGTTAAGGTCCCATTGCTTCTATAGGCCTGCGTGGACACTCAAACCTTCTACTAACCTGACTCAACTTTATAGGCCAGCAAAAAAAAAAACTAGGGCAAAAAGGAGAACTAGTCTTCAAGTCTTCCACCAGTTTCATGAGCTCACTCAGCTCACCTTGTGTCCACATCAGTGTCATACCCAGAATAAGGAAAGAGTCTTGAGTGCCTGAATAGAAGCACGTAAAGATGGTGGAAGAAAAGGGCAGAGTGAGACTTCCCCCACTGAGTGGCACCAAGCTGGTAGAACAATTTGGTCATCCCCTGCAGCGACTTTTCAGTGGCCTGCTCTTCCACTTATCTTTAGATGGCAAAGAACAGAAATTAGGTCTCGTGTTAGGACTGAGTCTCAAACTCTGGGTAGGTACTACTGTGAGGCCTCAATGAGAAAGACACGGCATTAAAGAGGGACATATGAGGGGCACAGGGACAAGTCCTAGACTGGAAGGTGAGGGGAATAATAACCCACCACTGCAAAGAAAAGCAGGGAAGAGACAGGAGAACACAGGCACAACATCTGTGGGTGCTGTGGCCAATGCCCACAACACATTAGCCTTGTTTTCTTGGGTACTGTTGGTACTGCATTAAGATGCTCTGCCTTGACCTCCAGTGCAATTCATAAGCCATTAACTCTGTGCAAATAAACAGGATCAGAACAGAGTCACCCGAAAGCAACAAAAGCAATTAGCACCTGGACGAAAGTAACACTTCTGTTCTACAGCATCCATACAAGCACCTGCCCTGTGAGAGATTCTCATCTCCATTGTGTAGAGAGGGAAAGAGGAAAAGCAAGAAGGAACTTAGCCAAAATCCACGCCAAAGCCAGATTAGAGTTCAGGAAATTCCTGGCTTTCCACCCTGTCGCCAGACCTCTGGAAAAAAAAGCACTCCTTTTAGGAGCAAGAAGGAGCACTCTGCTCATACCCCAAACACCAAAAACAAGCAATTTCCTCTGGCAAGACAAACACAAGCCAAAACAAAGAGCTGGGACTTCATTACCCCTGGCAAAAATTCAACCTGTGAAGCAGGACTTGCCTGGAAGCCCAACCTTTCCAATTACCCTCCCTAGAAACTGCAGCACTAAACAAAACCTAAACAAAAACGAAGCCCACCTCAAATTCCTTTCCTGAAGTTTTCTAAAAGCCCGGATCATCTACCAAGAGAACAAATCACTGCCTTCTCCACAGCACAAATCCCCGAGATCCTAAGCAGACTGCCTTGTACCAATGAAACAACCCTTAAACACCCTGTGGAACCTCTTCAGCAGACATATCACCAGTTCCAGCTTCTGTGCCTTTAACATTTGCTTTTGCTTCATGGTCCTCTCCCCCAGATGCCTTCATAGTAGGGCTAGTTTTACAAAATGCATCAGCAGGTGTAAGCCAACACCTCTTTGTTGTAAAGGACGATATTTGGCCTTTCACCATTTTGGCCATCTTTGGAAACACTGCTCACACTGAAGCAAGCCACACAACAGCGCAGGCTGTCTGCAGAAGGGTGTTATTTCCTGCTGTAACAGTCTTATTCGCACAGTGAAACATCGTGCTTCATTTTGCTTTCAGGAAAAGGCCTAAATGAGAGGAAACACAAGTTCTTTTCCACACTGAATTACACCTTAGAAAAAAAACAGAACACTACAAAGAACAAAATCATGATAAAGTAATATATGTGGGGAAAAGGAGGGTAACATTCTTCACAGTTTTGCACATTTTCTGGCAACTCTAACCAGAGGTGTGCAGATAAATTCATTTAGAAAGTCTCCTTTGTTACGCAAAAGCTACAAAACCTACTTCACACATGAAGCTGAAACAAGCTACTGAAATTCAAACATATAAAGCAACACAGCACATGAGAGCCTACAACCCATATGTGGTCGTTTTTTTGTTGTTTTTTGTTTGTTTGCCTTTTTAGACACGAGAAGCATCCGCTCAGAGGTGATTCTTTGGCTTTGGCCTATTCAAATATAGGGCAAAAACACAAACCCAGATAGCCAAGCCAATTGCACGAAATTGTATTCAATGCAGCAAGCCCTCAAAAAAGAAAAAAGGCAAAAAAAAAAAACACCCCACACAACCCGCAACCAGAGATTTTTGCCCTTACTCTAAACAACTAACTAGGCTTCCTTCTACAGCTATGCTCAAGAGTATATTTGTTTCCCACTGTTAAAGCAACTCTTTCACACATTACCCTGTTGTACCAATAGTACTCCTCCTGTCCCCTAACACACTCAGGCATCTCTTATCTCTTCTTCCCCTAAATATTCTGTTCTGTTCTCATCGCAGCTCTGACCCCTGCAGGAAAGTATTCATGTTATTGCTGGGACAACCCTGTCTCTGGATATATCCGGTGTTGGTGCTGTGACTAGTTTCAAACTAAATACCACAAATATTAGTCATGGTTAAACCCCATCAGGATCGAAACCAGGTAAGGCTAACCATCTGAACACTGACCCCGGACCTTTAGCAACACACACTGAAATCTGCTTACACGGCTCGATTGTTACAAGTGCCCAAACAAGCTTTTAAAAGCTGGTTCTGGTCTGTCTACATTAGACCACAGTTGCTCCAATGCAAACATGCTTCAGCAATGAGTGAAGAACTTGTGGCAAATCTGCACGGGAAAGCTGACAGCAGGTTATACAAACCACTCTGCTGGGGTCCAACTTGCCCCCAGGAAGTATTGAAGGGCAAATGCCTCTGCAAAGCAAGCAACCTAACAAACCTGCACAGCTGAGCTGAATCTCTGCACTAAGACTGGGTGAAGGCAATCACCCTTCTTTATACTGGCAGGGTAAATCTACACTAACAGCAGAGTATTCATTTCTCATCACTTGTTTCCTCATATTACATAATGAATATAACTGAATGTTATGCACATGCTACATTTAGCAAAAGGCAAAACACGTTGTTAAAGCAAGAGCAAATACCATTTTCAGAGGTCTCATATTTTATATGTCAGGCAAATTAGTAGTTATTTCTCCTCATTCCGTGTCACAGTCTGCAATGAAAGTTCACTAAAAACAAACGGAACATAAAAAGCGAGCCTCTTACCTATTTCTTCTAGTCTGATCAACAGAATAGATCTGCTTTCTCAGCCAGCTTGAGGAAAAGGAGAAAAAAAATGAGAGAAAAGAATTTAATTTGAGAATTATTAAAAAAGATCAATTAAATATCAAAATCCAGAGATGAAATTCAATAGAAGTATTTAAAAATCAGAACATACATCACTAAGTAAAGCAAACATATTTCCAGCATAGCATCTAAGTATTCAATCAGTTTTATAATGCTAGTTGTAAATATATACTATTCTGCTGCTTAATATTGCATTTTAAGGCCACATAAACAACACAGGAAAGGGAAGGGTGTGCACAGCACAAAGGAATAAACAACCAGAAACAGTAAAAATGTAAATTGATACAGTGGGCCAAGATTTCAGCTAATCTAGAGTTACTCCGCCACATCAATGATCTACGTCAGCTGAAGCTGGTGACTGAAAGATCTTATATGCATAAAATTAAAAAAGAAGGGGAAGGGAGGGAGGGCTTAGGGAATTTTTAAGAAAATCCTGATTAAAATGCACCTCAGTTTTAGGTACAGAGCAAAATAGTATTAGCAGTATTAATAGTAAATATACACATGCAGTTTTGATCTAAAGGATGATCACAGTGCGCCAGTATTAAGCTTATCTTCATTTCTCTACAGAAATCACTTTGTTCACTGCACAAACATAGCCTGAAACCTAGTAGCACTTTGTATAACAGCTCTCTGCAATACCACACAATATATAAAGGCAGGAGGAAGTGAAGAATACTTTCTCCCCAGCTGAAATTACAAGTAGGTAAAGACAACATCAATGTCAATATCAAAGTTGCAAAAGTCAGGTAGACTTCAAGGACAGGGAATATATCCTTTGTATCCTTAAAACAGGTAATAGCAGTGACTCACCCCCAACACAAAAGTCAGCAGTGATGAAAAGCAATCAAGTACAGAGACAGTGTTAAAAGCTTGTCAACAAAATTGGCATTCTGAACATTAGCAGTTTCGAGCACAACATCTTCAGAAGCATTAAGGGTGCATTTTCACCATCATATTGCCGTCTGCTAAAAAGTAACCGTTTAAAATGTTCATTTTTATCCTGGCTCTCCCAGGTGAGCTGATCACATTACCATATGGTGCAATGATGTCAACAGGCAAAACTGTAAATGTGCACATGGGAATCATGGGGACACAGAAGCTGAAACATGGACATCTACCAGATCAAGCCTTTTGTGACTGCATAAGACATTTGAATTTTCCAAGAACTCAACACAGATCAGATGACCTTGATATTGCATTCAGAGATGTTATTTTTCTGTGGTACATTGAAGAAGGCAAACTGCAAGTTCACAGCAGTGTATGAGAAGTGCAGTTCCAGAACATGTAGATAGCCAAACAGACATGGAGAGTTTCCATAGGAGCTTTCTGTATCACGCACAAACTGGCTAGTAGTTGTTCCTAAGGTAACTGGCAGGGAGCACTTGTTGCACTTCAATAATTTCTTTGGCGTTTTCCACTTTACATTCCAAAGAGATGTCAAGTCTCACAAAGTGAAAATATTCCTACGTACCTCTCCATGATTGCAGGCGTGGGAGCACTCATGACTTCTTGATACAAGATATTCAAGCCACACAACCATTTATCAGCATCATCTTTAGAATCAGCTGGAAAAAAATAACATGCTGTGAGAAACATATAAAAGTAGGACATAACTTGTGATGTCTAGATAAACGCTAGTACACAGAGATGCAGGTTAACCTTTCTCCTTGATAGATCTCATTGCATAAATCCATGTTGTTAATACTAGAACTAGTAGCACAGTGTAAATTTGAGGGTGAGAGGGCCAGTCATGGAAACTCTGACAGAACATCTGCTTCCCAGATTAGGTAAATTTCAGCATCTCACCAGAAAGATTATGAAACTGTTGCTGAGTTCTTACCGTAACATAATCAAACTTCGTTTTCTCCCCAGAGACCTAGATCACGAGCAACTTGAAGCACACGGAAAAGTGAATTCAGTGTGTTATAGCATAAACCTAGCTCGTGATATTCCAAGCAACCTACAAGAAAGCTGTAAAGCGCTAGCTTTTGATGAACACAACTACCTCCTCTTTTCATAACCATGCCTCTAAACGCAGATTGTCCCAGACTACGCTTAGGCAAGAGGAACAGAAAGGAAGCAATGTATGAAATTAATGTAGCTTATATAGAGAATCATAGAATCATTTAAGTTGGAAAAGACCTTTAAGATAACACATTCTAATACAAGGTAAATTTTAAAAAGGTCTATGCAGCCTAACACTGTAACTCAGGTGCATATGCCTTCCAACCTCACAAGCTGGTTTACGTTTATATCTAGTTTGCCTTTCCATTTCCCAAAACAGAAGAGTCCTCTACATCAATTAACATGATCACGTGTAACATTTCAACCTTACAGAAGCATGATCACAGACTGTGTTCTGGATACAGCCTTCCCTGAGAAATGCCAATTAAACCATTCTGAGGGCCTTGAATGAGATGCTGTCTTTACAGCATTCAGTTGGACAAAGTCCATTATCTTTATCAAGCTGGTTCTGAAATTTCATGAAGGCATTCTCCAATTATAACAGCTCTTAAAAAAAATACTTTCACACAGGAGCTCTAATTTGTGCAAATTCTTTAACTAACTTCAAAGTAAAACAGTTTCTCAAAATATGAAGATTACGTTTTATTTAAATGTATTTTCAAACAATGCTTTATCCTCCAAGGATAAAACTAGAACCCAGCCTCAGCTCCCCATGGAAATGTTTTTCAATTAGCTACAATTTCAGAAAGAACACCCACTACCAGTGCCAAACCAATTCTTCTCCCAAGACAATTCTGGCCTTTATGACAGCCACCATTCCCTTCTAAGTAGGGACTATTTTATATTGTTTAAAAAAAAAAAAAAAACCATGACAGAGTACTTTAACAAGGAAAAGGATTTCCCCCTTAATTGGAAGTTATATCAGTCATGCTGTTCCCAGTTCAGCATTATGACAATATACCTCAACGTACTGAGTATTTTCAAAGTACTGGCAGAAATCTGGTTTTGAGAACTGCCATGGAGGCAGGGTGGGGGGTGTTGGAGGAAATCAATCTGAAATACCTGGCACAGCTGCACTTATTCAAAATTTTCAGACCTCATCCAGCAATGGTAAAACTTGATCTGAAGTTAAAAATCTATTACACTGGTTTAGTGACAAACGGTCTTTAATTACCTGTGCATCGGACTGTAAAACCAGGCTTCCAGTTCTGTGATCTATAGACAATTAATTCCCACATATACATGAAACATTTGCTAGCTCCCTAGGAGTACATAATTCCTACATTAAATAAATAAATAAAAAGTAATGCTAGTGTTACAGTGCCTAGGAAGTGATATATTGATAAACACGTACTACGAGACATGATATTAATTAGTGCTTAAATAGCTGTTGCCTTCTAATGAGCAACAAGCATTCATCTTCTTAAAACACAGAGCTGTTGACCTGTACAGTGCAGGACAGACTGCAGCAAGTGACTCATGTATTACATCCACAAGTTATACAACTGTTCTGTTTGGACAATGTAAGGAAAAAGTCTCACACAATACACTATTTGACAGCAAAATGTTACAAATGGAGCAGTTCAAAGACATTAAGGGCTGGCTGAGTAAAAGGTCTTGGGTTTTGTACATTTGGTGCACTCCTGAACTGCCAAGGGCAAAAAAAATCACAGTATTCTTTACATTACTATTTCATCAGTGTATTTGATCGTTCAATTGCTAGGTTTAAAGAGGAAACGAAGAAGAAAAAGGTTTACCTGCTAAACTTAAGGTGTTGAGGACAAACTGGGTACCATAAAAAACAGTAAAGCAGTGTTCTTCTCTGTGCCTTGCTTTGCAACGCTCAAAGTCCTTTGAATTCTTTCCTGGGCGAATTTCTTTTATTTCCATCAGATCCACTAAAAGGAAAAAACAGAAAGTCAGTCAGTACAACTGCACTAGAGTTCCAGCAGAGCCTGAAACAACAAAACTAAAAACTCAAAGCACATATATATATATATATATATATATATATATAATCCGTACATATGTAGTTATAATTTTTTATAGGGCAAGAAATGAAAATTGCACCAGCCTGCAATCCGCAAATCCACAACTAAATGACTCATTGTATTACTGACTAATACACAGCAGCAGAGAAGGACCAAAAGAAGAAGAAAAGTAACTTGTCATTTCATCATTTTTATCATTTGATTATCACTGACTAGCCACAGGCAAAGTTTGTATGCGTAGTCCCTTTGAGTTACAGAAGATATGTTTTCATAAATGGAATTTATACTAAGAAATTTTCAATTGCCATGCCAACCATTCAGAGACAAAAGAACAATACAACTTCTAGCTTACCCACCTAAAAAGAACGCGTTAGATCTTAGATAGTCAACTAGCACCCCAGTACAGCCACTGACACCCATATGAAGGAATATTTAAAGAAAGTATATTTGGCATCCTCCAGAAAGTAAAGAGAAAATGCAGCCCAATAATTATTTTTTTTGAGCCTTCTCCTGGACAACTCCAAGCAGATCTCTGTCATTTAATATAACCTCTTGCAGCATTTTTAACGTGCTGCTTTCTACAGAACACAGGCACTCATAGCCAAATGGCAGTGACACACGAGCACACACTTCAAGCCAGCTCCCTTTTTGTCAACCCCTTTTCATACCGCCTGCATAAGAGCAGTGAGACAGCACTGAAATAGAAATATGTGCAGTCTCAAGATAAGATACTTATTAGAAAACTGAGGAAGTGGTTTTGCTCTGCCTGTGGACCAGACAAATAAACAGCTCTTCCCACTTCTGGACAGTCCTGACTTACAGAATGAAGAGCGAAGAAAAACATTTCACGGCTGCTCTTGAAATGTGTTTATCAGAGCCAGCAAGATCCAAGGAAAATAACTGAGGGTTTCTGTTCCTGCATTTAAGAACACCACAAGATTAAAACTAAGTGTTAAATGAGCACCTCGTCTCAGTCAATAACGCACAATGAACAAGCTACTCAGCTGCTAACAGGGTGTGAGGAGCTGAACGCTGGTTAGATCTCGGGCCCGCGTACCATTGGGTTTCTATGAAACTAACGTGGAAAGGAGGGAGACACAAGCAAGGATGTTTATCAAATTAATTCATCTTGGAAGTTTTTATTCTTTACAAAGAATTCCAACCCAAACTTCCCACCTGATGCTCCTTATTCCTTGTCATTAAACAATTTGTCTTGGGAAAACAGAGCTTCAAAGGTCAACTTGAACTTTTCCTAGAACACAAACATCTTTCTTAAACTTGTTTTTCCTAATGTGATTATCTTCAAGATAGAGCACATCTAACATCTCAACCTCCATGGTTCAGTCACTCTCCCAAACCATGAAACCATCTCTTAAGATCTGCATATCTAGATGGCCAAGGCCTCTAAATTTAAGCGTAAACTTTTAAAATAAATTAATGACAGAACAACAAATGAACTACAGCCAACAGCTCCTGATGGCGGCTCACATCCTCTGACAACCCAGAGTGTCACTTAGATCCCTAGCAGTGTATCTGGACATCCATCCCAAAATGCCAGCATCTGAAAAAGAAGGTGTAAGCCCAGCAATCCACGTTAGTACCAGCAGAGAAGGATCAGGCTGCAGAAATAGAAAATACCTAAGTGGATGGGGAAATGGGTCGCGTGGCTGCAATAAATGACACAGGACTGTACACCACGCTGGCTCATGCTAGTTACGGGCAATAATAACACCAGCCATCTCTTCCTTCCCTTCACCCAACAAATTTATACTGAGAAACACAGGTGTAACTTGAAAGTGAAGCCTACCTTTCACTTCACACTCCCATAAATCCATGTATATCAAACACCACACCACAAAGACCCCCTCAAAGCATAAACTATAAGCAGCGATAAGAGATTTCACAACCTGCACTGCTGTTGTCACTTCAAGTGGCTCTTACCTCATACTGACCTCTGAAACAAACACACAGCCTTGCCTAACGTCTTCCCTCAGTTACATGTATGCTCACTACACTTCTTTTCCTTGCCTTATAACCTTTCAACCCTACCATCCCATTCCCACATGGGAATACACATGTATACACACATCCACACTCAAGGACTTTTGCACACCCAGATTTCACCGTGGTAACTGCTATTCTTATGTTCCTGTTTTACTCACGCTGCTTTACAGACCGGACCATGAGTCTTAGTCTTACACTAAGCTCTGCTGGCCCCCCAGGTATGCTACAATCACCCTTCATGCAGTGCCCACGGCATCTGGAAGAGCTGATCCCAACTGAACTGGGAAAGGAAGAGCCAGGAAAAGCTGCAACATGTTTCGGGCTCAGATTAGTAAATCAACTGCACCAACTCAGCCATTGCTCACCTGTTACACAGTTACTGTGACATTTTTATAATAAAATCAAAATGCAGCTTCATGCTTGTGCCAGAACGACCAGCACAGTGCCTCAACCACTCCATCTTCTTACCGCCTTGATGTTCTGGAGCCTATCTGCTCTATTCCACATAAAAATCACAGAGCCATTTGCTCACCTGGCTTCATGGACAGGTATTCCTGGGGCCTGATACATCTGAAGAAAGCACAGATCTGGACATACACAGGTTGAAAAGTGAAAAATCAAGTAAAGCAGTCTTGTGAGTGTGGTTTCCATAAAACTGTACAAAATTACTGCATTTCCCAAGGAAACATGAATCAAATATGCTCTATAGAGAAGCTGACTCTAGCTTCTCTAGCTGACCCAGCAAGATGAGGAAGATGTTCCCAATGTATTCATTAAGGTGCTGAAGATGATGACACTGGTGACAATCAGGAAAACCTACAATGCTAGTTTACATTTCATCCATTTTTTTATGTGGTTATTCCCATGGGTTAAAAGAATCTTCCTGGCAGCCTCATCAGTCATCTATTAATTCTGACAACTCCCTCGAGCAGACTTTAACTAGACCAGACCCCAAGGCACCTTCAATTACTATCCTGTCTCAGTCTCTGATCTGGGTGTGCAGTTTTCACTACATTCCTGGCACTTTAGAGCCTGCAGCCGCTGAACTTCTGCTCTTGAGATGTAGTGTGCAAATCAGTTAATTCAATGGATCATTACACCACTACACGGCTACTTCCCAAAGACTGCACAGATTGGAAAGCAGTGAGCAATTTAGAGTGCCTGCTAGAGCTCTTTACTGCCATAAACTTCACAATAAACCTTTGATCCTCGGCATCTCCACTGATCTCTATTCAAATAACTTGGCAGCAGAAATCGCATTCAGTCCCAGCGTTTTAACTGTGAATCCCCGTTACCTTCCCTTCAGGAGGCAGATGGCAAAACACAACTTGGATTCCACTACGGCAGGTGCTGGGCAAGCTCAGCAGACGACAAGACGTAAGGCAAGTGCAGGTAGTGAACAAACAGAACTGCAGAAAACACAACATTGCTGCATACAACAACGCTGCTGACCATTCCGCCTCCGCCCCAGCGCTCACCCACCACCCATCGTCTACAGGGAGCAGCCAAGCAGACAACTGGATGAAGGAAAAGACCCTGCTTAAAACCAGCCAACACCAACAGCAGAACAGCAATATGTTAGCTGGAAGTGCCCATGTAAATTGACTGTTGTCAGGCATGCTTGCATAGATAGACTTTACCGAAGTCAGATAATTTGATGCTGTAAAGTCAAGAGAACTGTGTATAAATGGGATAAGCCTTACAGGCTGACAATCTAGCAAGGTATCCTTGGCAGAAGAGTCATGACTAGCAGTGTAAAAGTTCATCTGGGACTAGCAGTATGGAGCAGAGTCCTGTAAGATAAGGCTCCTGATTGCAAGGCCAAAGGCTGCAGGAGATTTTCATTGTCTGTAGCCACAAAGAACGGTCAGATCAGTTATGTACATAGTGGAGCAGGAGAATAAAAAGTTTACAGAGACTCAAAGGATGCTTGTAGTGTCGGAAATCAGGCCATGATCATTATTTACTCCATTGGGTATTTTCAGTAGCAGTCCCCAGAAGTCTTACAGAGAAGCTACTGGCAATGTTTCAGAAAGGAAAATAAGGGACTGATCATCCAAATGGTGTGGACCGAGACACAGAGGTGGGCATTGTCTACATGAGTGTCTTCACATTTTCATGCATGTATATAGTTACATTCTGCACAAAGACTTCAAAACCAGTTTTTGAAATCCACATCCCTCCTAAAAAAAAAATTTGCATTACAAAATATTCCTAAGAAGGTTTCATTTCAGAAAGGCAGAAACTGCCTCCTGCAACACAAGCTATGTGCAAATGAGCCCCCAGTGAATGAAGAAAGCCTTCAGTCTCCTTTTGCAAATGCACTTCACAGCGGTTTGTAAGGACAATGGCTTTAGTCTCACCTCTGCAGAATTAAAGATTAACTATACAAGGTGTGTCTTAACAGCCTGTTTTATTCAAAACAGCAGTGAAACACGGATCAAGTGCAATCTAAAGTGAAAAAGGTGAGGCTTGTCTCAGAGAAAGGCAAAGTCATATGAAGGCAAAAATCTGCAGCAGGTGAGAACAGATGTGGTATGGAAAGTGATCCAGCTCGTACAAACGGTGAAATTTAATCAGACATTCAGTGGCCCAAGGAAGTCGTTACAGGTAAGCCACAAAAATATCTGCAGAGTTACAAGGATGCAACGTGAGAAATGGCGCGGTGCATCTTGAGAAAGCACACGTGGCTGCCGTTCCAAGGGGTCCTCTGGGACTGAGCCACGTGACTGGCAGAAGCTGTAGCTTGGTGTACCACTTAAACCAGCAGGCTTTTAAGTAATCAGGCCACACAGAGCTGCCATGCACGGTAACAACAAATTGCCCTCTTATCAATTACAGCTATCTTTTGAATTGACAACTTCTCACTAGACTGCTCAGCAAAGCAGCGACGTATTATGGCC